CTACCATTAAAATGATAGACTGATCATTTCTTTGTCAGTGGGCAAACGTACAAAATCAGCAGGGGATCAAATACTTTTTTCCCTCACTGTAACTGCCATTCTCATATATAAAAGAGCCTTCACAGAAATCTAATATTTTTGGAGGATTTATAAATAGCTAGGTTGATGAAAACTCATTCCACAGGACAAAGCTCCAAACAGCAATGGCAGAGACATTAGAGAAAGTTTGACAACCAGTATTTTTTTCCAAAAGACCTTGGGTCATACATTCTCAAAGCAACATCATGTCATTTGAACAAAACCTCCAGTCTAATAATATATATGTGGGAATGCTGCATTGTATTTATACTGCATACAGTAGCCATATTGAAGCGTTTGCCACACTATCCTGTACATTGTCATGAATTGCAAACTATTTTTAGAACAAAATAAAAGTTTTGTTAATGTCACTATACTTACTTTATATTTAATCTTGCCTGAGATGGGAGTGCCTGGTTAAAGCTCTTTCACGTCTCGATCAATAGACCTACAGCTATCATTAGTGACATAAGTGGTGATTAGATCCTTTTCCAAACAGTATTCTTATGCTTATTCATTGGTTGGCCTGTACATAGAGAATAGAACAACTGTCATATTATCGATGTGCCTATCAGTATCATGACCACCGAGTTGGCCCTAATTAGCCCTAATTAGGGTGTAGATCTTCATTTGTGCCAGCTTGCGACAGCAGAAAAATAATCCTGCAGCAAAAGGAAATGTGAATTATTTTGTGGATTATAATTAATGGAAATTTTTGCAGGGGTTGATACATTTTCCACGCCACTCAGGAGGCAGAAGCCTTTTTAAACCTCAAATACGCTACAAGTTTTAGATTTTTGACACTAATGATCCTGATCAGTGCTGCTCAATCGACTCAGAAACCTTGTTAAACAACAGAAAGAAGCTCCAGTAGCCATGTTAACTATTGACAATGTTCATTTGTTCATGCGAAGAGACACAGGAAAACGTGGGTAGATCTGTTCTAACAACTCCCTTACACAGGTATTTTCTCTGAATATAGAAGCAGTAGCCTAGTAACAATATGAACATCAAAAGTCCTTGTGCAGATCCTTTCTCTGACTAAGAAAGTAGGAAAATAATTATGGGGGAAGCCTAAAGTGGCAATAAACTAACTGAAAACCTAACTGTCATTCACAGTTGTGCTTCTAACTACTGTCAGAAAATGGAAGGAGCATGTAATCTAATTTCAAGACAATCCCTGAAGCCACTGTCAGTGGCTTGCACTTGCACAGAATTGTGGCAAATTATAACAACATAGTTGAAGGGCTGCTGAGATTTGACGGCCACAGTCTAATCCCCTGTAGGGTACCCTCTTTGGAGGATTGCTCTTCAAAGCACTGTGTAGTGTGTACCATGTACCCTGTGTAGTGTGTACCATGTGCCCTGTGTAGTGTGTACCATGTACCCTGTGTAGTGTGTACCATGTACCCTGTGTAGTGTGTACCATGTGCCCTGTTTAGTGTGTACCATGTACCATGTGTAGTGTGTACCATGTGCCCTGTGTAGTGTGTACCATGTGCCCTGTGTAGTGTGTACCATGTGCCCTGTGTAGTGTGTACCATGTAACCTGTGTAGTGTGTACCATGTGCTCTGTGTGGTTTGTACCATGTACCCTGTGTAGTGTGTACCATGTGCCCTGTGTAGTGTGTACCATGTACCCTGTGTAGTGTGTACCATGTACCCTGTGTAGTGTTTACCATGTGCCCTGTTTAGTGTGTACCATGTACCATGTGTAGTGTGTACCATGCACCCTGTGTAGTGTGTACCACATGCCCTGTGTAGTGTGTACCATGTGCCCTGTGTAGTGTGTACCATGTGCCCTGTGTAGTGTGTACCATGTGCCCTGTGTAGTGTGTACCATGTGCCCTGTGTAGTGTGTACCATGTGCCCTGTGTAGTGTGTACCATGTGCTCTGTGTAGTTTGTACCATGTGCCCTGTGTAGTGTGTACCTTGTGCCCTGTGTAGTGTGTACCATGTGCCCTGTGTAGTGTGTACCATGTGCCCTGTGTAGTGTGTACCATGTGCCCTGAGTAGTGTGTACCATGTGCCCTGTGTAGTGTGTACCATGTGCCCTGTGTAGTGTGTACCATGTGCCCTGTGTAGTGTGTACCATGTGCCCTGAGTAGTGTGTACCATGTGCCCTGTGTAGTGTGTACCATATGCCCTGTGTAGTGTGTACCATGTGCTCTGTATAGTTTGTACCATGTGCCCTGTGTAGTGTGTACCATGTGTCCTGTGTAGTGTGTACCATGTGCCCTGTGTAGTGTGTACCATGTGTCCTGTGTAGTGTGTACCATGTGCCCTGTGTAGTGTGTACCATGTGCCCTGTGTAGTGTGTACCATGTGTACCAGCAACAGGAGCATCTGTAGCTCTGTGTATAAATGGAGGGTCAAGATGGACTGCTGCTGTATCACCCGTCACAACACTAATGAGCCATGGTCCTTCTTCATTCACGCTCTCTCTCCATACCATCTCTCTCTCACTCTCTTTCTCTCTCCCCCCCCACCCCCCTCCCCTACCTCCATCTCTCTTTCTCTCTCCTACCTCAATCCCCTCATCCCTACACTCTCCTCCCCTACCTCAATCGCTCGCGCCTCACCGCAACCTCTCCACCTAACCAACCCCTATCCCCACAACGCCCCCTCCCCTACCTCACTCGCCCTCTAATCCCTACAACTCTCTCTCCCTACCCACTCTCAACCCTCTATCCCTACAAACTCTCTCTCCCCTACCCAATCCTCCCTCTATCCCTACAAAAAACTCCCCTCCCCCTACCTCAATCTCTCCCTCTATCCCTACAACTCTTCTCCCCTACCTCAAGTCTCTCCCTCTTCCCTACAACTCTCGCCCCTACCTGCAATCTCTCCCTCTATCCTACAACTCTCTCATCCCTACCTCAATATCTCCCTCTATCCTACAACTCTTCCCCTACCTCAATCTCTCCCTCTATCCCTACAACTCTCTCTCCCCTACCTCAATCTCTCCCTCTATCCCTACAACTCTCTCTCCCCTACCTCAATCTCTCCCTCTATCCCTACAACTCTCTCTCCCTACCTCAATCTCTCCCTCTATCCCTACAACTCTCTCTCCCCGCTCCTCTCTTTCATACCTTTCGCACATACTGTTTCCAGGTTGTGGTGTTACTAGCACGACTAGATCTTTGTTATCCTAATGGGCTCTTTGCTTTCTCTGAGCCGTTGCTCCTTTCTGCACTTGTTGTTAATGAGGCCCTCAGACAGAGTCAGGTATGGCATACCACACCAACGTCTGTAAAATATAACTTGTTTTCATTTAGTCTAGTTCAATGAGAGAACTTCTTAACTTCATGGTTTTTCAAAGTGTGGTGCATAATCTTCTGGCTATGAATAGTACTGCCTTTGGGTGCAATTCTGTTTAAATACCAAGCATCATGAATTGAACATAAAACTGGACATAAACCACTATTGCACCATGCAGGGTAACATCCGTTATATTGTTTGTGAAACCAACAGGACCAATAGTTTCATCTTTGTCTTGATACAAACTTGTACGGCTTCATGAGTGGAAATATTTTATTACATGCAGTTGCATAGTCATAGCACTGCCATTTAGCAAACTGACACTATGGAAGCTTTAGACAGCCTCAAACTGACACTATGGAAGCTTTAGACAGCCTCAAACTGACACTATGGAAGCTTTAGACAGCCTCAAACAGTCAACAATCATATTTTCAAAACACACAGCAACAATCGAGATGTACACAACTAAAGCCAGCCGCCACAATCACTATAAGTTCATACAGATCACAATTCAATTACGATATTTCTAGAGGTACGTTCCAAATGGTACCCGACTCCCTATAGCGCACTACTTTTGACCAGGGCCAAATGCAGCAGAATAGGTTGACTGCGGGGGAATTGCTTTGCTCCCACTGTTGATACATCTTACAACACAAACATCGGTTTTCCATGCAGCAGGATGGATGCAATTTCAAAGCCTGAGGAAAATAATATTACCTGAGTAAAACAACAAAGGTTATGAGGAAATATGAGAGCAAAGTATGCTTTACTAAAGAGACAAATGAAAGGAAAGGACAAAGGAAAGAAAAACTCACATTTCTGTCATCCAAATTGAAAGTTTCTATCACATTATTCAGAACACCTACAAAGAAAACACGCTTAGCATTTTTTATATGTAAACACAATTGATATCAAACAATAACTGTAGAGAAATAACAGCACAGAAACATCTAAATACGTTTTTCAGATAACCAATCTTTGTTTGTGTTTAATCATTGTTAGGCACTTATGGCTGATGAATACAAATAAACAGCGGTAAAAGGACCGTCTCTGAACCAATACGAAGACATCAAACATGAGAAGAGGAATTGGCCATAGTTGGCAAGACAGCACAAACAGATCTGGGACAGGCACATTTTCATATATCACAATATTGATTTTGAAATGATTGTGATGATCAAACACATTAGATGCAATGTAAATAATTGGATAAGTCTCTTGTTGGAATAGTTTTGGCAGATTCTCTCATCATTGGACATCAATATGATGGAAATATTAAACATAAATAAAACAATACATATATTTTCATAAACATATATATTTTTTCTAATATGTACGTTTACTCTAACACTTCTGATTTCCTTCACCATGTGGATACGATCACGTTTAATCAGACCCATAGCTGGTGAATGCATGGTCTGTATCCACCCAAAGGGAGACAACAAGCAAGTTTGTGCCTCTGTGAAGCTTCTGACATGTTTAGAAGTTATCATAACAGAATCAATTCAACTACACAATGCTCACAATAACTGCACTAACAAATTCGGCAATACTCAAAATGGCAAATAACAAATAGTAATAAATAAAGCATTAGTCAGTTAGCATAGTATGGTTGGATATGTCCGGATGGAGGACGGTCCATGCGATGCGATCAGCCTCAGACACTGTTGGGGTTGTAGCAGAGCATGTTGAGCTGCAGGTTCTCGTCCCAGTGTCTGAGGATGATAAAGAGCTGGTTGGCAGCAGACTTGACCGAGGCTAAGTCCTTTCCTTCAGGGATGGTCTGGGCACTGAGCCACATGCTAGCCTTAGCTGCTATCAGCTCCCACTCTATGAAGTAGCTGGCCGAGCTGTGCTCCAGCCAGGCCAGGGCTACAGCCGTGGCCCACACCATGCCCTCCGTATCCAGCCTCTTCCTGGACCCCGGAACACCAGGGGACGCTTCTGGGGGGGTTTCCACGCTCTCCGACTCCAAGCCCTGTCCGCTGTCAGTCTGGGTGTGAGGGTGCTTGGCGTAGGTGGAGGAGGTAGGCGTGGAGGGGCCGCCCAGGAAGGAAGGAGAAGACCCAGGCCCACCCTCAGTCCGTGGACTCCTGGCCAGGTGAGAGGGGCTGTGCCCCCCTTGTCTGTGGCAGTTGACGACCAGGTCTCCAGGCTGGTGCTGGTGGTGAGCTGCCAGGCTGGTTTCTGTCTCCTTAGCTGAGCTGTGAAACGAAGATGGAGAGGTGGACCTGTGGCTGTCGTCTGCAGCGATGCTGTCTGAGCGGCGGCTGGCTGAGTGGGAGACGTGGTGACCCAGACTGACCCGGTGGCTGGTGAAGGGAGATGTCCACTTCAGCTTGTCCATGGGCACGTTGATGGCCTCACACAGAGCGCTGTCCAGGCAGAACGCACCACATGCAAACTGTAAGGACACCTGTACCAGAGAGAGGGAGATTAATAAAAGTAGTGAAACATATCTTTTTTTTCCCATCCTTCAGCTACACTCAACCCCTCCCATCTATCTCTGAAGAACATCCAGTTTTTATATTTTTCAACTGTGCTGTGATGATGTTTCACAAAAGTTCTGAACCTTTCTATTCTCATAGTTTCTACAGATTGTCAATTAAAGATCAACATTTTTGCTAAAAAATATTATATTATGATCGATTGACTATGACTTTTCAAATCACCCAGCAGTGCTATTTGCAGAGTTAGCTCCAGGTAAATGTTGCAATTCTTCAGCCATTCCTGAACCTGCGACCAAAATTTCCTTAAGTGCATGAGGGTGATAGTTTGTAGTGTTATTTCCTTTACTGTCCATTGAGGTATTTAAAACTGTATTATAATCTCCCATCATAATAATAGAGTCTTGTATTGCTTGTAGGCTTGACAAATTATTATATATATTTTCAAAGCATGGATAATCCTTATTATATATATATATACACTGCTCAAAAAAATAAAGGGAACACTAAAATAACACATCCTAGATCTGAATGAATGAAATAATCTTATTAAATACTTTTTTCTTTACATAGTTGAATGTGCTGACAACAAAATCACACAAAAATTATCAATGGAAATCAAATTTATCAACCCATGGAGTTCTGGATTTGGAGTCACCCTCAAAATTAAAGTGGAAAACCACACTACAGGCTGATCCAACTTTGATGTAATGTCCTTAAAACAAGTCAAAATGAGGCTCAGTAGTGTGTGTGGCCTCCACGTGCCTGTATGACCTCCCTACAACGCCTGGGCATGCTCCTGATGAGGTGGCGGATGGTCTCCTGAGGGATCCCCTCCCAGACCTGGACTAAAGCATCCGCCAACTCCTGGACAGTCTGTGGTGCAACGTGGCGTTGGTGGATGGAGCGAGACATGATGTCCCAGATGTGCTCAATTGGATTCAGGTCTGGGGAACGGGCGGGCCAGTCCATAGCATCAATGCCTTCCTCTTGCAGGAACTGCTGACACACTCCAGCCACATGAGGTCTAGCATTGTCTTGCATTAGGAGGAACCCAGGGCCAACCGCACCAGCATATGGTCTCACAAGGGGTCTGAGGATCTCATCTCGGTACCTAATGGCAGTCAGGCTACCTCTGGCGAGCACATGGAGGGCTGTGCGGCCCCCCAAAGAAATGCCACCCCACACCATGACTGACCCACCGCCAAACCGGTCATGCTGGAGGATGTTGCAGGCAGCAGAACGTTCTCCACGGCGTCTCCAGACTCTGTCACGTCTGTCACGTGCTCAGTGTTAACCTGCTTTCATCTGTGAAGAGCACAGGGCGCCAGTGGCGAATTTGCCAATCTTGGTGTTCTCTGGCAAATGCCAAACGTCCTGCACGGTGTTGGGCTGAAAGCACAACCCCCACCTGTGGACGTCGGGCCCTCATACCACCCTCATGGAGTCTGTTTCTGACCGTTTGAGCAGACACATGCACATTTGTGGCCTGCTGGAGGTAATTTTGCAGGGCTCTGGCAGTGCTCCTCCTGCTCCTCCTTGCACAAAGGCGGAGGTAGCAGTCCTGCTGCTGGGTTGTTGCCCTCCTACGGCCTCCTCCACGTCTCCTGATGTACACAGCCCATCTGAAATTAGCCCACCCAACTACCTCATCCCTATATTGTTATTTATTTTGCTCTTTTGCACCCCAGTATCTCTATTTGCACATAATCTCTTGCACATCTAGCATTCCAGTGTTAATACTATTGTAATTATTCTGCACTATAGCCTATTTATTGCCTTACCTCCATAACTTGCTACATTTGCACACACTGTATATATATTTTCTGTTGTATTTCTGACTTTATGTTTTTTACCCCATATGTAACTCTGTGTTGTTTTTTATTGCACTACTTTGCTTTATCTTGGCCAGGTCGCAGTTGTAAATGAGAACCTGTTCTCAACTGGCTTACCTGGTTAAATAAAGGTGAAATAAAGTATTTTTTAAAATGTACTGGCCTGTCTCCTGGTTGCGCCTCCATGCTCTGGACACTACGCTGACAGACACAGCAAACCTTCTTGCCACAGCTCGCATTGATGTGCCATCCTGGATGAGCTGCACTACCTGAGCCACTTGTGTGGGTTGTAGACTCTGTCTCATGCTACCACTAGAGTGAAAGCACTGCCAGCATTCAAAAGTGACCAAAACATCAGCCAGGAAGCATAGGAACTGAGAAGTGGTCTGTGGTCACCACCTGCAAAACCAGTCCTTTATTGGGGGTGTCTTGCTAATTGCCTATAATTTCCACCTGTTGTCTATTCCATTTGCACAACAGCATGTGAAATGTATTGTCAATCAGTGTTGCTTCCTAAGTGGACAGTTTGATTTCACAGAAGTGTGATTGACTTGGAGTTACATTGTGTTGTTTAAATAATAAATAATAATTGGTCATTTAGCAGACGCTCTTATCCAGAGCGACTTACAGGAGCAATTAGGGTTAAGTGCCTTGCTCAAGGGCACATCGACAGATTTTTCACCTAGTCGGCTCGGGGATAAGTGTTCCCTTTATTTTTTTAAGCAGTGTATTTGATCCCCTGCTGATTTTGTTCGTTTGCCCACTGACAAAGAAATGATCAGTCTATAATTTTAACGGTAGGTTTATTTGAACAGTGAGAGACAGAATAACAACAACAAAATCCAGAAAAACGCATGTCAAAAATATTACAAATTGATTTGCATTTTAATGAGGGAAATAAGTATTTGACCCCCTCTCAATCAGAAAGATTTCTGGCTCCCAGGTGTCTTTTATACAGGTAACGAGCTGAGATTAGGAGCACACTCTTAAAGGGAGTGGTCATAATCTTAGTTTGTTACCTGTATAAAAGACACCTGTCCACAGAAGCAATCAATCAATCAGATTCCAAACTCTCCACCATGGCCAAGATCAAAGAGCTCTCCAAGGATGTCAGGGACAAGATTGTAGACCTACACAAGGCTGGAATGGGCTACAAGACCATCGCCAAGCAGCTTGGTGAGAAGGTGACAACAGTTGGTGCGATTATTCGCAAATGGAAGAAACACAAAATAACTGTCAATCTCCCTCGGCCTGGGGCTCCATGCAAGATCTCACCTCGTGGAGTTGCAATGACATTGAGAACGGTGAGGAATCAGCCCAGAACTACACGGGAGGATCTTGGCAATGATCTCAAGGCAGCTGGGACCATAGTCACCAAGAAAACAATTGATAACACACTACGCCGTGAAGGACTGAAATCCTGCAGCGCCCGCAAGGTCCCCCTACTCAAGAAAGCACATATACAGGGCCGTCTGAAGTTTGCCAATAAACATCTGAATGATTCAGAGGAGAACTGGGTGAAAGTGTTGTGGTCAGATGAGACCAAAATCGAGCTCTTTGGTATCAACTCAACTCGCCGTGTTTGGAGGAGGAGGAATTCTGCCTATGACCCCAAGAACACCATCCCACCGTCAAACATGGAGGTGGAAACATTATGCTTTGGGGGTGTTTTTCTGCTAAGGGGACAGGACAACTTCACCGCATCAAAGGGATGATGGACAGGGCCATGTACCGTCAAATCTTGGGTGAGAACCTCCTTCCCTCAGCCAGGGCATTGAAAATGGGTCATGGATGGGTATTCCAGCATGATAATGACCCAAAACACACGGCCAAGGCAACAAATGAGTGGCTCAATAAGAAGCACATTAAGGTCCTGGAGTGGACTAGCCAGTCTGCAGACCTTAATCCCATAGAAAATCTGTGAAGTGAGCTGAAGGTTCGAGTTGCCAAACGTCAGCCTCGAAACCTTAATGACTTGGAGAAGATCTTCAAAGAGGAGTGGAACAAAATCCCTCCTGAGATGTGTGGAAACCTGGTGGCCAACTACAAGAAACATCTGACCTCTGTGATTGCCAACAAGGGTTTTGCCACCAAGTACTAAGTAATGTTTTGCAGAGGGGTCAAATACTTATTTCCCTCATTAAAATGCAAATCAATTTATAACATTTTTTACATGCGTTTTTATGGATTATTTTGTTGCTATTCTGTCTCTCACTGTTCAAATAAACATACCATAAAAATTATAGACTGATCATGTCTTTGTCAGTGGGCAAACGTACAAAATCAGCAGGGGATCAAATACTTTTTTCCCACACTGTAGCCTCCCTACTGTTATTTTATTTTACTGCTGCTCTTTAGTTATTTGCTTTTATTTTTTTACTTAACACTTTAAAAAAAATATGTTTTATGCATTGTTGGTTAAGGGCTTGTAAGTAAGCATTTCTCTGTACTGTCTACACCTGTTGTATTCGGCGCATGTGGCAAATAAAATGTGATTTGATTTGATATTAATTTATTTCCACAATTAACTAATGATATGCATAATAATGTATGCAGTTCATGCTAAGGATTGTTACCTATAACCAGGATTGCCATTACAAAAATTACATTTTTGGCAAGCAATTATTATTTTGGCAAATAATTATTGTGATTCATCCTATACTGTCTTTAACATCATTACTCCATAGCAACACATGTGGGATACATTCACACACACACTCCCCACCCTTCCCCCACAAACAATCACAATCTCAGATGTTCAACAGTTGTGCCATCTCCGAGCCCAACTCAAGAAAGGACTTGATGTGTGAATGCACATACAGTTGTAGCGGTTTGAGAGGCGTGCAAAATTGAGCAAAAAAGGGGAGATTTGATTAACCAATGTCAAGTCCTAGCTGATGGAGCTCAGTTACACCCCTTTCCCCTGAAACACACACATGCTGGTCCCCCGTTGTGACCATTTTCCCAAGCATCTCTGTGCAGTCAGACCTTTTATTATTTTGTGCCACCAGGGCCACAATAATTTGCCCCCTCTCTGATTGTCCGAGTTGTGACCCCCTCCCCATGGGTTACTGCAGCTAGTGTTGCCAGTACTGCCACTACCTGGGTGGGGACACCCCACCGGAATTCCCACCGGCTAGGTACAAGGTCGCCATTAGCAACTCTGAGAAATTCCTTGTATATTATGCTCACCCATTCGGGGGCTTTGGCTTTGTAAGACCAACCCTGCCAGGCAGGCTCAGAATCTTGAGGGGGCAGTGCTGCTTTAGTGGGTCTCTGACCGCATTTATCTTTCTGTCTTGGCTGCATATAGGCTACTTGCAGTAGGCCTATCAAACAGATAAGGACTTCTCCTTAGTGTATGGGTCGCTCAGGTGGGTGTCTCGGGTATAGGGTTGGGGACCGTTCCATCATGACAGGACAATAAATAAATAAACTATATTTATAATTTATTTTAAATGTATATCATATATCTGTACAAAATTGAAAACTCTCTCTGTCACAACTCCTGCTCGCAGACACACATGGGCTCTGGTATTTGCAACCATTTTCCTTTTTCACTCACTTACCTCCACACTTTTCCAAACACAAAAACACACACCCCACCTTCCATCACAATACACCCGCACATACCCACATACTGTGCCTTCTATGTCCTCTGTTTGCTGTGTTTGCTGTTTGCTATCATGTTGATTACAACTTAATTTCAGGCTTTTGCATACTTTTGTGTTATTATCTTCTAATGCTGTCTTTTATCTATTTATATACAGTGGGGAAAAAAAGTATTTAGTCAAACACCAATTTTGCAAGTTCTCCCACTTAAAAAGATGAGGGAGGCCTGTAATTTTCATCATAGGTACACGTCAACTATGACAGACAAAATGAGGGGAAAAAATCCAGAAAATCACATTGTAGGATTTTTTATGAATTTATTTGCAAATTATGGTGGAAAATAAGTATTTGGTCAATAACAAAAGTTTCTCAATACTTTGTTATATACCCTTTGTTGGCAATGACACAGGTCAAACGTTTTCTGTAAGTCTTCACAAGGTTTTCACACACTGTTGCTGGTATTTTGGCCCATTCCTCCATGCAGATCTCCTCTAGAGCACTGATGTTTTGGGGCTGTCACTGGGCAACACAGACTTTCAACTCCCTCCAAAGATTTTCTATGGGGTTGAGATCTGGAGACTGGCTAGGCCACTCCAGGACCTTGAAATGCTTCTTACGAAGCCACTCCTTCGTTGCCCGGGCGGTGTGTTTGGGATCATTGTCATGCTGAAAGACCCAGCCACGTTTCATCTTCAATGCCCTTGCTGATGGAAGGAGGTTTTCACTCAAAATCTCACGATACATGGCCCCATTCATTCTTTCCTTTACACGGATCAGTCGTCCTGGTCCCTTTGCAGAAAAACAGCCCCAAAGCATGATGTTTCCACCCCCGTGCTTCACAGTAGGTATGGTGTTCTTTGGATGCAACTCAGCATTCTTTGTCCACCAAACACGACGAGTTGAGTTTTTACCAACAAGTTCTATTTTGGTTTCATCTGACCATATGACATTCTCCCAATCCTCTTCTGGATCATCCAAATGCACTCTAGCAAACTTCAGACGGGCCTGGACATGTACTGGCTTAAGCAGGGGGACACGTCTGCACTGCAGGATTTGAGTCCCTGGCGGCGTAGTGTGTTACTGATGGTAGGCTTTGTTACTTTGGTCCCAGCTCTCTGCAGGTCATTCACTAGGTCCCCCCGTGTGGTTCTGGGATTTTTGCTCACCGTTCTTGTGATCATTTTGACCCCACGGGGTGAGATCTTGCGTGGAGCCCCAGATCGAGGGAGATTATCAGTGGTCTTGTATGTCTTCCATTTCCTAATAATTGCTCCCACAGTTGATTTCTTCAAACCAAGCTGCTTACCTATTGCAGATTCAGTCTTCCCAGCCTGGTGCAGGTCTACAATTTTGTTTCTGGTGTCCTTTGACAGCTCTTTGGTCTTGGCCATAGTGGAGTTTGGAGTGTGACTGTTTGAGGTTGTGGACAGGTGTCTTTTATACTGATAACAAGTTCAAACAGGTGCCATTAATACAGGTAACAAGTGGAGGACAGAGGAGCCTCTTAAAGAAGAAGTTACAGGTCTGTGAGAGCCAGAAATCTTGCTTGTTTGTAGGTGACCAAATACTTATTTTCCACCATAATTTGCAAATAAATTCTTTAAAAATCCTACAATGTGATTTTCTGGATTTTCTGGATTGTCTGTCATAGTTGACGTGTACCTATGATGAAAATTACAGGCCTCTCTCATCTTTTTAAGTGGGAGAACTTGCACAATTGGTGGCTGACTAAATACTTTTTTCCCCCACTGTATACTATAAATAGAAAGTCGAATACTAATTATTTTACAACATTCCCTATCTTGAACGGTATAGTGTTCTTTATCAATTGCTGTATTTTATTGTTTTTCCTCACCAAAAAAATCCCTACTATGGTTAGTATTGGGTGTTCCATTATTTTACTCTTCTATGGGAACTTTGAAATATTTAGAATAGCCATGGAGTAGTCATGGTGTCTCGGAACAGTTGGTTATCAATATACAGTTTATCGACAACAAGAACTACACGTTTCCCTTTTAATCTATTCACCTTAAAGAGTGGATACAGAACTTTGGCCATTCTGCAATTTCCTTCGGGAACTGATCATTCATGACTATTTTCGTGCTAGCGGGTCTTTTGCCCAGTCTTTTAAACATTATTTTATTTTTAAAGAATGCACATTTGTCAATGATTGGGCGCCTCATATCTCTGTCCTCTCTGTACGAAATGATGTACACGTTCGAGTTTGATTTTGTCGACAGTATCGCCTGGGATCTGTAGCGCTTTAAGAATTATTTTACTACAGCTTAGGATCTTTACCCTCATTTTCTTTGATACCAGTAAGTAACAGATTTTCTCTCATAGATCTAGTCTGTATTTCAAGTAAGGCTTCTCTCAGGAACATTTTTAAGTTATTTAACGTCAGTTTCAATAGTATTGACTGTACCTTTTAGCTTGTTTCTTTCTTTCTCCATTGTCACAGCTTTTTCGTCACTCATCTCGAGGCTCCTTCACCTCCTTTATATCTTTACTGACTAGTTCAAGTATGCCCCGTTTATCATTTAACATTTATATTTTCAAAAACATGCCCTTTTGTCACTGGTGAATTACAGCAACCCTTCTGAAAAACCATGTAGAAAGTATTGGCAGTTGATTGTATTTAGATCCAGTGAACGGTCTTTTATCTAGAACTAATGGTGCACATGTGCAGCAACGCACCAGAGGAATGTAGTCTTTGTTCTCGTTCTCACTCTCCCCCACGGAGTCGCTGGTTTTGCTGTGTGAGCGAAACATGAAGCTCCTGGCGGCCCGGGTCAGGAGTCTCGTCCGGTTGAGAGTCAGCCTGTAGAGGAGAGGAGAGGGATGCAGCACCTCGAGTTCAACTTGAAGTTTCATTCATTACATTTGTGAGTACAAGTACATACAGTGGGGAGAACAAGTATTTGATACACTGCCGATTTTGCAGGTTTTCCTACTTACAAAGCATGTAGTAGGAATTAATTAATTTGCATTTTATTGCATGACATAAGTAATATTTGGTACAGAAACCTTTGTTTGCAATTACAGAGATCATACATTTCCTGTAGGTCTTGACCAGGTTTGCACACACTGCAGCAGGGATTTTGGCCCACTGCTCCATACAGACCTTCTCCAGATCCTTCAGGTTTTGGGGCTGTCGCTGGGCAATACGGACTTTCAGCTCCCTCCAAAGATTTTCTATTGGGTTCAGGTCTGGAGACTGGCTAGGCCACTCCAGGACCTTGAGATGCTTCTTACGGAGCCACTCCTTAGTTGCGCTGGCTGTGTGTTTCGGGTCGTTGTCATGCTGGAAGACCCAGCCACGACCCATCTTCAATGCTCTTACTGAGGGAAGGAGGTTGTTGGCCAAGATCTCGCGAAACATGGCCCCATCCATCCTCCCCTCAATACGGTGCAGTCGTCCTGTCCCCTTTGCAGAAAAGCATCCCCAAAGAATGATGTTTCCACCTCCATGCTTCACGGTTGGGATGGTGTTCTTGGGGTTGTACTCATCCTTCTTCTTCCTCCAAACACGGCGAGTGGAGTTTAGACCAAAAAGCTATATTTTTGTCTCATCAGACCACATGACCTTCTCCCATTACTCCTCTGGATCATCCAGATGGTCATTGGCAAACTTCAGACGGGCCTGGACATGCGCTGGCTTGAGCAGGGGGACCTTGCGTGCGCTGCAGGATTTTAATCCATGACGGCGTAGTGTGTTACTAATGGTTTTCTTTGAGACTGTGGTCCCAGCTCTCTTCAGGTCATTGACCAGGTCCTGCCGTGTAGTTCTGGGCTGATCCCTCACCTTCCTCATGATCATTGATGCCCCACGAGGTGAGATCTTGCATGGAGCCCCAGACCGAGGGTGATTGACCGTCATCTTGAACTTCTTCCATTTTCTGTTGGCGCAATTATTCTTCCAATAATTGCGCCAACAGTTGTTGCCGTCTCACCAAGCTGCTTGCCTATTGTCCTGTAGCCCATCCCAGCCTTGTGCAGGTCTACAATTTTATCCCTGATGTCCTTACACAGCTCTCTGGTCTTGGCCATTGTGGAGAGGTTGGAGTCTGTTTGATTGAGTGTGTGGACAGGTGTCTTTTATACAGGTAACAAGTTCAAACAGGTGCAGTTAATACAGGTAATGAGTGGAGAACAGGAGGGCTTCTTAAAGAAAAACTAACAGGTCTGTGAGAGCCGGAATTCTTACTGGTTGGTAGGTGATCAAATACTTATGTCATTCAATAAAATGCAAATTAATTTCTTAAAAATCATACAATGTGAATTTCTGGATTTTTATTTTAGATTCCGTCTCTCACAGTTGAAGTGTACCTATGATAAAAATTACAGACCTCTACATGCTTTGTAAGTAGGAAAACCTGCAAAATCGGCAGTGTATCAAATACTTGTTCTCCCCACTGTACATTGGAATTTCTCTGCGACATAAAGGAGCATTCACAGCCCTTATTATGGTCCTACCATAACCCTGCCATTCTCAGCACATACCTATAGCTGAATAAAATAACAACTGAACTCAATAAACACCAAATCCCTCTTCCGTTTGTCATTTCACAACAACAAAAAGTACGCTCCAGGATAAGTGGTCAATGAGAATTTTTCCTCACACTGAGCAATGCATGAATGGTGCCTAGTGGACCAAAGCACCTGAGTGGTAATGGGTGCCTGAGAGATAAAGGTGATATAGGGGTGAGGTGAAGAAAGGAGCTATATAAAGGAGTCTGTTGAGCTGTGTTGTTAAAGCTCTCCCTCCTCACTGAGTAATTATAGACCTCACTCTAAACTTCTTTTTTTATCCAAGGTTTTTGAAAAAGTTGTTTTCAAGCAAATGGTGGCTTGTTTGATTATGAACAACTTATTTGAAAAATACCAGTCGGGCTTCCACTCACTTCACAGCACAGAAACTGATTTATTGAAAGTCAGTAATGACCTTCTGTTGGCTGCCGATGCCGGTGTGAAATATATTCTAGTTATTTTGGATCTCAGTGCCGCATTTTATACTATTGATTATACTGTAACATCCTTGTTGACCAGCAGGAGAGGTGGATGTGAATCTCCGGCGTTGCCTTCGACTGGTTCAGGTCATATCTATGCAGACGTTTCCCCTGTACATGCTTCCCCTTGGTGACATCATCCGCAATCACTGTGGCACAAATCCAATGCAAAATCCAATGCAAGTCAATGATACCTACAGTGCCTTTGGAAAGTATTCAGACCCCTTGATCTTTTACACATTTTGTTACGTTACAGCCTTATTCTAAAATGTATCTACACACAATACCCCATAATGACAAAGCCAAAACAGGTTTTTAGATTATTTTGCTAATTTATAAAAATTAAAAAACGGAAATATCACATTTACATAAGTATCTGGTACCCTTCCCCAGATCTGTGCCTTGACACAATCCTGTCTCGGAGCTCTACGGACAATTCCTTCGACCTCATGGCTTGGTTTTTTGCTCTGACATGCACTGTCAACTGTGGGACCTTATATAGACAGGTGTGTGCCTTTCCAAATCATGTCCAATCAATTGAATTTACCACAGGTGGACTCCAATCAAGTTGTAGAAACATCTCAAGGATGATCAATGGAAACAGGATGCACCTGAGCTCAGTTTCGAGTCTCATAGCAAAGGGTCTGAATACTTATGTAAATAAGGTATTTCTGTTTTAAATTTTTTATAAATGTGCAACATTTTCTAAAAAACTGTTTTCACTTTGTCATTATGAGGTATTGTGTGTAGATTGCTAATGATTTTTTATTTATTTAATCCATTTTAGAATAAGGCAGCAACGTAAGTAATGTGGAAAAAATCAAGCGGTCTGAATACTTTCCGAAGGCACTGTACATTCACATTTTTCGTGCTTCATCTAAAAGTATCTAAAATTGATGTGTAGCTCAACAGTCACTTATAGAGTTTTAGATATTTTATAGCTGTTCTAACATAAGAGACATCTTATGGATGACTTTATGCTGTGGAGATTGCATCACAAAACCCTCTGTTATAATAAATAACAATACACTTGTGGTCACTAAACCTATCATGTACCCTCTCCAGAATGTAAGCTGACAGTGCAGACTGAGCTTTAATTTTAGGGTATTTTCATTCATATCAGGTGCATAACCCCCCATTTTAGGGGACCAAAAGTATTGGGACAAATTCACTTATATGTGTATTAAAGTAGTCAAAAATGACAGTCTGCACTTTAACCTCATAGTCATTGTATCATTTCAAATGCAAAGTGCTGGAGTACAGTCGTGGTCAAAAGTTTCGATGTTTTGTTCCCCGAGCCACTTAGTTATCACTTTTGCCTTATGGCAAGGTGCTCCATCATGTTGGAAAAGGCATTGGTCGTCACCAAACTGTTCTTGGATGGTTGGGAGAAGTTGCTCTCTGAGGATGTGTTGGTACCATTCTTTATTCATGGCTGTGTTCTTAGGCAAAATTGTGAGTGAGCCCACTCCCTTGGCTGAGAAGCAACCCCACACATGAATGGTCTCAGGATGCTTTACTGTTGGCATGACACAGGACTGATGGTAGCGCTCACCTTGTCTTCCCCCGGACAAGGTGTTTTCCGGATGCCCCAAACAATCGGAAAGGGGATTCATCAGAGAAAATGACTTTAAACCAGTCCTCAGAAGTCCAATCCCTGTACCTTTTGCAGAATATCAGTCTGTCCCTGATGTTCTTCCTGGAGAGAAGTGGCTTCTTTGCTGCCCTTCTTGACAACAGGCCATCCTCCAAAAGTCTTCGCCTCACTGTGCGTGCAGATGCACTCACACCTGCCTGCTGCCATTCCTGAGCAAGCTCTGCACTGGTGGTGCCCCGATCCCGCAGCTGAATCAACTTTAGGAGACTGTCCTGGCGCTTGCTGGACTTTCTTGGGCGCCCTGATGCCTTCTTCACAACAATTGAACCTCTCTCCTTGAAGTTCTTGATGATCCGATAAATGGTTGATTTAGGTGCAATCTTACTAGCAGCAATATCCTTGCCTGTGAAGCCCTTTTTGTGCAAAGCAATGATGACAGCACGTGTTTCCTTGCAGGTAACCATGGTTAACAGAGGAAGAACAATGATTTCAAGCACCACCCTCCTTTTAAAGCTTCCAGTCTGTTATTCTAACTCAATCAGCATGACAGAGTGATCTCCAGCCTTGTCCTCGTCAACACTCTCATCTGTGTTAACGAGAGAATCACTGACATGATGGCAGCTGGTCCTTTTGTGGCAGGGCTGAAATGCAGTGGAAATGTTTTTTTGGGATTAAGTTCATTTTCATGGCAAATAGGGACAATTAATTGCAATTCATCTGATCACTCTTCATGACATTCTGGAGTATATGCAAATTGCCATCATCAAAACTGAGGCATCAGACTTTGTGAAAATTAGTATTTGTGTCATTCTCAAAACTTTTGACCACGACCGTACAGAGCCAAAACCACAAAAAATGTGTCACTGTCCTAATAATTTTGGAGCACACTGTATAGTAACAGGAAGTTAAAATTAGATCTAGTTGGTCACTAAGTAACATCTCATCATACAAACAATCATTATAACTGCAAAAGTGTATTATGTATGCCGATTACACAAAACAATGTAACTCAGTGAATTGAAAACCACTCCGCTGTCCCCATTTTCTATTATCAGTTGGCCATGAGACAGCACTAGCGGTACAGTTAGTATGTTATTGTCCCTGACAGTCTCCAGCCTGGCCCTCTCCATCACCCACTTGGCTGAGAAGAGGCTCTCCACCGACTTCTGGTCTGAGGTCACCGACAGGTTTCTCTGAGAGTCTGAGAGAGAGAGAGAGAGAGAGAGAGAGAGAGAGAGAGAGAGACGGGGCACACTAGTTTTCCATTTAGCTATTTTCTCTCTCCCCTGAGCTCAAGACTCCACTCCACACGACACCGCCACAGACATCACAGATAAAAGACACCCATAGAGGCCTGGCAGCCACAGCAGAGGACACACACAATCTAGCAGCTGTGTATGTGTGTGTGTGTTGATTAGACGTTATCAATGTAGACCATAAGAAAACAAATGGGCTTTTCTCAGTTGAAGGAAGACATTCATATAATTTGCTCGATATGGAAGTAGTTTTCCTCGAAAGCAAAACAGGACAGATAAAAACTCACCATCTGTAAAGCTGCATCTTTCCCAGCCAGAGGATGAGGGGGTGCTGCATGGAGAGGCACAATCTTCCACACCTATAACACACCAAAAAGATAGGTCAATGCCATTTGAAAAGTATCACTGTGGACAACATGAACAGTTTACTATATGTGTAAAACATTCAAAGCATATGGATATTAAAACCTGTCAGATCTCTCTGTTTGGCAGGCGTATGACCTCTTCAAACTATCACTTGTCACACATTTTCAAACATTCTTCCTCTCACATACAAATCTTTATGAGTATGTAGTATGGTGAAGGTCTTACTGGTGGGCAGGTGTCCGTCCTCCTCTGACATGCAGCCAGACTGGGAGCGTCCCAGTCCGATGGAGTAACCCCGGTTCTTCCTGTTCCCAGAGCGAGAACTGGTGTGAGAGCCCCTCTTCAGACCCTCACCTGAAACACCCAACAGCAGCTTTCAACACAGATATAATGTATTTCCTGACCAACAATGTAAAGAAGGTCATAGAACGCTACCCTTTTGTAGTATTAAAGGACAAAGTTACGTTATCGTTAATAAAGGTCAGAAGTGTCATGACAATGGATACAAAATATTTAAAAAAAACTCCCTGCCATACAATGTGAATGTATGCATACCATGAACAGGAGTGTCTCTGTCACGTTCGTTCATGAACGGGTCAGACCAAGGCGCAGCGTGATATGCATACATGTTTATTTGACTATTAAACACAACGACGACGAAACGAAACGTGAAGTCCAAGGTACACAAACAACATACCTAACACGGAACAAGATCCCACAACCCACTAGTGCCAATAGGCTGCCTAAGTATGGTCCCTAATCAGAGACAACGAGCGACAGCTGCCTCTGATTGGGAACCACACCGGCCAACATAGAAATACAAATACTAGAATATACAACATAGACAATTACCACATAGAAAATACACACCCTGACTCAACAAATAAGAGTCCCCAGAGTCAGGGCGTGACAGTACCCCCCCCCCCCCCCCCCCCCAAAGGTGCGGACTCCGACCGCACAACCTTTACTTAACAGGGTAGGGGCCGGGTGGGCATTCCGCCTCGGAGGCGGATCCGGCTCCGGGCGTGACCACCACCTATTCTCCGCCTCCCTGTTGCGCCCCTGGTCTGGTCTGGACCTCGGCGCGCTGCTTCCCCTCTCCTTCCTCCCACTATACTCCAAGCCCTGTCTGGACCCTGGTGTGGGAGACCCCGAACCAGGAGAGGGGCTGACGTCTGGGTCTGGACTGGAGCCGCTGACCGGAGCTGGACCGGGCACCGGTGGAGCGGACTACTCAGGCTCCGGACTGGAGCCGCTGACCGGATCTGGACTAGACCCTGGTGGAGCGGACTGCTCTGGCTCCGGAGTGGAGCCGCTGACCGGATCTGGACTGGACCCCGGTGGAGCGGACTGCTCTGGCTCCGGAGTGGAGCCGCTGACCGGAGCTGGATCAGGCACCGGTGGAGCTGACTGCTCTGGCTCCGGAGTGGAGCCGCTGACCGGAGCTGGATCAGGCACCGGTGGAGCAGATTGCTCTGGCTCCGGACTGGAGCAGCTTACCGGAGCTGGATCAGGCACTGGTGGAGCGGACTGCTCTGACTCCGGACTGGAGCTGCTGACTGGTGCCGGACCAGGCACCGGTGGAACGGGCACAGGCCGTCCCGGACTGGACACACTCACCACTGGTCTGGTGCGAGGAGCAGGCACGGGCCGAACTGGACTAGGAACATGCACCACTGGCTTGGTGCGAGGAGCAGGAACAGGCCGGGCCGGACTGGCGACACGCACCACTGGCTTGGTGCGAGAAGCAGGAACAGGCCGGGCTGGCGACGCGCACCACTGGCTTGGTGCGAGGGACAGGAACAGGCCGGACCGGGCTGGCGACGCGCACCACTGGCTTGGTGCGAGAACAGGAACAGGCCGGGCCGGACTGCGAAGGCGGACTGGAGGTCTGGAGCGGAGAGCTGGCACAACCCGTCCTGGCTGGCTACCCACTTTCGCACTACACGTGCGGGGCGCTGGCACAGGACGCACTGGGCTGTGCACGCGTACTGGCGATACAGCTCGTAGAACCGGCGCAGGATATGCGGGACCGAGGAGGTGTACTGGAGACCAGGAGCGTTGAGCCGGCACACCCCGTCCTGGCTGGATGCCCATCTTCGCGCGGCACGTGCGTGGTGCTAGCACAGGACGTACAGGACTGTGCCGGCACACTGGCGACACAGTACGTAGCTCCGCATAACACGGAGACTGCCCAGTCACAACGCCTCCTCGCGTGAGTACGGGGAGTTGGCTCTGCTCTAACACTAGGCTCCGCCAACCACCCTTTTAGCCCCCCAAAAAATGTTATTGGGGCTGTCTCTTGGGCTTCCTCCTCGACCGGCGTCCTCTGTGTTGCCGTTGCTCCTCTCCTGCCTGGACATCTACCTTCGCCCATGGCCCTTTCCCCGCGAATATCTCTTCCCATGACCACAATTTGCCCACTTGGGACATGGCTATTCGCTCTTCCTGGGCACGCTGCTTGGTCCTCGTTTGGTGGGATCTTCTGTCACGTTCGTTCATGAACGGGTCAGACCAAGGCGCAGAGTGATATGCATACATGTTTATTTGACTATTAAACACAACGACAAAACAAGAAACGAAACGTGAAGTCCAAGGTACACAAACAACATACCTAACACGGAACAAGATCCCACAACCCACTAGTGCCAATAGGCTGCCTAAGTATGGTCCCCAATCAGAGACAACGAGCGACAGCTGCCTCTGATTGGGAACCACACCGGCCAACATAGAAATACAAATACTAGAATATACAACATAGACAATCACCACATAGAAAATACACACCCTGACTCAACAAATAAGAGTCCCCAGAGTCAGGGCGTGACAGTCTCACCTGGGTTGATGTAGTCGATAGAGGTCTGTAAATATTCATTAGTGTCCAGATCAACGGGCACAAAGGCAGTGTATTTACTGAGAATGTTACAGGCCTTGCTGGTGTGAATGGCATATAACCGGTACCTTCTGCCAGAACCTGAGAAATCACATGTTGTTGTCACTTCATCATCTCATGATTTACATAAATTCCATTATAAAAAATATTTGGAGAAATCCGATTTATCTATCTGATTTCTCGCCTGAAATCCTCTTCATTAGCACAAGGTTGTCACTATTTGATACAGCAAACTATTACCAAAACAAAACGATAAGACACCAATCACGCCAAAATATATCATTTGAGCATTGAGATATTACCCATCTCTTACGTACCATGCTCAATCTCACACTCCTGATCTACCATGTGCTCAAAGTCCTGAATGATGGAACGTCCAGCCAGGTGATGGAATGTTTCATTCCAGAGTTCCTCGTGAACCTTCTCCTCCCGCTCTCTGCCCTTCAGGTAGGGGTCTATGTCAAAGGTCACCTCCCACTTGACTGGCTTCCCACAGAGCAGGCCCGACACCACAGCCTTACAGTACCCCTTCACTACCTCCCTGTCCTGAGGAGCTGAGGTCAGGTCTGGGGTGGCTGGAGGCTCCTGGGGGGTTTCTATCTCACACAGCTGATTGGGGTAGCAGTCTGGTAACACAACAATAGGGAGTAGTTAGGCTGTTTGTCTGGATATCAGTTTTTGAATATATTAGGTCACTACTAGTCATAAATGCAAGTGTCAGGCTGATTTGAATTGACTGTGCTTATCAGATAATTACACATCATTAATACCCATCATTAAAACTACCCATCATTAAAACTACTTTACTTGAAGAGAATATTCAGATTTGAGGGACTGTATGTGTCTACCATGATCTTTAGGGTGAGTGGGAGGGCTGTGGTTGTGAACCCACCTGCGTCTCCGAAGCTGCTTACAGATGGGCCAGTGGAGGACGAGCCGTCCTCCCCACCGGTGCTCCTGGCTCCTCCTAGGGCGTGCTCTGGATCAGCCCAGCTCCTGGTGGCTCTGGTCTGCAGCTTGGTGCCGGGGGACTGGGCCTGCTCTGGCTCCGCCTCCTGGGGAGCCCCCTCCTGCTGGGGGGAGGGCCTGTGAGAAGCACCGTTGGTAGGGCGCCCTCTGGAGTCCGTGGCAGATGTGGCACACAGGCTCACCAGCTGTGGCTGTCAGGGGTTAGACATAAAGGTCCATGTTTAGCGAAACACTATGACCAAAAACATTCTTACTAAACCTTATTGCATTGTTCATTTATGTCCACAATAATTGCCATATATCCATTGACTTACTCCCCACAACTGTGAACCCGACCATTGGCTAATTGCGAATGTACCCATTCAGCCAAGTGGCTCACTCAAGTTATAATAAGGAGCATTACAGTGATTGCAGTATGCATGCAGAGTAATGATAGACTCAGTCATCAGAGTAGTGCTTTTGCACACTGCCCATTCAAGTTGAAAGGATATTTGCTCTTTCCACTGATTTTACTAAATCAAGGAAAACGGCAGATACATTCTGATTATCTGTTATGATATCGCTTGCACCACAATTTAAATGAGTTGATGTCAATTTGTATCAAATGTTTTGTTATATTTCTTTATATGCTTTCTGTTGATGACCATAAAACCTGTTTTGACTTAATAAGCAGATCAATAATCTCAGCACCCAGAACCAAATCTTGTACTGGTAACTATCACAGTCTGCAGATCAATGTCAAATTCCAAGTAAATCATTTGTACAAGGACAGGCACCATGGAGAGACAGGTGAGAGACAGGTGAGAGACAGGTGAGCCTCGTCTTGATTATGCCAATACTCTTCGGGCAACTTTCAGACCGTAAATTTGTCAATCGTGAAATGATTGTGGCCCTCATTAGTGATGAGAGCACCTTCTTATTTTGTATTCTTGATTACACTCCAACTCATCCCAGGGTCAGACAGCTTTCTCCCACCCTGTTAGTACTTCTCCACCGCCACTGCAATATCAACACTGACTGCCTGGGTTGTTTTATTGGAAGGACAATATCATTGTCCTGCTGCTGGCATAGACGAAAGAGAGTTTAGGTTTTAATATCAGTGTATATGCACACCCAAAACGCCTTATGCTGAGCTATCAACCTGTAAAAACCAACCTTTTTCAGAATGGTTCTTACTTTCCCCATGAAAGCATATTAATATTTGCTCCAATGTCTTACATATTCTGTGGTGTTCTCAAATGGCTTTTGTGTGGTTAAGAACTAATAATAAATTCAACTGTCCTTAAATGATTCCATTTGAAGATTGAAATGATGAACCATGTGGATCATATTAAGACATGTTTTTAATGTATTCTATACATGTTTCTATTTTCTAGAAGAATTCACCTCATTGTCATTGTTCTTCAGGTGTTCATCCACCTCTGGCCTGCTAGCTCCCCTACCTCTCCAGAAGCACAGTTCCCGCTCAGTCCAGTCAAAGCTATTTGCTGCTCTGGCACCCCAATGGTGGAACAAGCTCCCCACGACGCCAGGACAGCGGAGTCACTGACCACCTTCCGGAGACACTTGAAACCCTACCTCTTTAAGGAATACCTGGAATAGTATAAAGTAATCCTTCTACCCCCCCCCCCCCACTCCCCCACCACCCCCCATACATAATTTTTTTTTTTTTTAAGTGGTTGTGCGACTTGCTATCATAAGTTGAATGCACCAATTTGTAAGTCGCTCTGGATAAGAGCGTCTGCTAATTGATGTAAATGTAAATGTTAGAAGTAGAGTGGTAGATAGATGAAGAAGACAGAGACACAGTAGGAACAGTGGACACAGGGATCGAACCCCAGTCGAGAGAGTCGAGAGACAGATCTGTTGCCAGTGCCACAAGACTCTGCACTCACCTGGTAGTCATTCTTCCACTGTGCTCCATAGTCAGGGCTGGTCTGTCCATTCAGCTCCTGGACCTTAGCTCTCCTCAGCGGGTTCTGCCCCTCTACAGAGCTGGGGTCACTGGGAGTGTAGGTCTTCTTCATGTTGGGGTTGTAGTCCACTATCCGGTTGGTGCTATACGCACGTCTTCTAGGTGATGTTTTAGTGTCCATTCCTATGGGTTTGTGAAAAGATTACAATCATTTTTGTGCACAAATAAACATGACTGGGTGATCGTTATTGTGTGCATTGGATAAGCTGAACAATAATGACATTTAAATCAGTGGAAATGCAGAGATGATCTCAAACCTCTGGATTCTTACCCATGGCGTTATGCTTTGTGGGGCCAGGGCTGCTCTCTGACATGGAGTCTTGGTAGGAGTCAAACAGAGGGCTGGTGTGTATGTCCCTGTTGGTTCCCTGACCGTCAGAGAAGCCTGTAGTCGTCCCTGGGTCCTCCTCTTGGGAGTGGTAGAACACGGAGCTGGCTGAGTCATTTGAACGCATCATACTGTAGCGCTTCCTCTTATCCTGGTGGAAGAGTTGAATGGGAAATGTTTGAGTCCTGCGTATCTACACCACTTGAGAGACAGTAATTGATAGTTGCTGACAGAGACATTTATTTCAAGATATTGCTTTCGACACATTTTCAAAGAGGATATATATAAAAAATGATCGACATCCTTCATTTTAACCACTTCACATATTGGGCTCTATTTTAACAAACCTAACTCAATGGTCAATCTAAGCGCTGGCGGTAGCGCTATATGCTCTGGGGTGTGTCTAAAATATTTTGGCTATTTTCACAACCACAATTAACGGCGCAGTTGGTGCGAAAGGGCTTGGTTTTGATGAATGAACAAGTTGTGGGTGTGTCGAGGCTTGGCTGCTTGCTGGCCAATCAGAACGTGCTTCATGGCTAAATATGTGGTTGCTTCAAGTTGTGTATTTACGGTCTTTTATGTATTGCCTTGGAATCAACTCCAATTCCAATTTTAGTCCGTTATAGTTTGTTAAACAGCGTACAGAAACAAAATAACAAAATGTAGACCTATCTCATCTTTGCTAAATATGTTAACTTGAACCTGTTTGCAGTCCACATTGTTCCAAGTAATTACATAGCTTCAATGTGGAAATATATACATAGCATTCGGGGTTAGGCCTGCTGTAAATTGCATTATGGCTGAGCATGGACATGCCAAATGTTGTCAATAAGCAAGATTAAATTCATTATTAATAAGGCCTAAAAAGAGAGCGAATAATTCTAATCAAATTCTAAACAACAACTTGTTTTAAAGTCTGTCTAAATACACTAACAAGCACCATCATTGGAAGGTTTTATGCACATCCAAACCTCTCACAGTAGCTGGACAAAGATCCAATATAAAGAGAATGGGAGAATGTCCACTTTATACTGCTTCTAAATATGAAGTTGTATATACACTGAACTAAAGTATAAACGCAACATGCAACAATTCCAAAGATTTTACCGAGTTACAGTTCATGTAAGGAAATCAGTCAATTTAAATAAATTAATTAGGCCATAATCTATGGATTTCACATGACTGGGAATACAGAACTGCATCCGTTGATCACAGATACCATTAAAAAAAAGGTAGGGGCGTGGATCAGAAAACCAGTCAGTATCTGGTGTGACCACCATTTGCCTCATGCAGTGCGACACATCTCCTTCACATAGAGTTGATCAGGCTGTTGATTGTGGCCTGTGGAATGTTGTCCCACTCCTCTTCAATATGGCTGTGCAAAGTTGCTGGATATTGGCAGGAACTGGAACATGCTGTCGTACACGTCGATTCAGAGCATCCCAAACATGCTCAATAGGTGACATGTCTGGTGAGTATGCAGGCCAGTTCAGCTTCCAGGAATTGTGTACAGATCCTTGCGACATGGGGCCGTGCATTATCATGCTGAAACATGAGGTGATGGCGGCGGATGAATGGCATGACAATAGGCCTCAGGATCTCGTCACGGTATCTCTGTGCATTTGTGTTCGTTGTCCGTAGCTTATGCCTGCCCATACCATAACCCCACCGCCACCATGGGGCACTCTGTTCACAACGTTGACATCAGCAAACCGCTCACCCACACAATGCCATACACGCTGTCTGCCATCTGCTTGGTACAGTTGAAACCGGGATTCATCCATGAAGAGCACACTTCTCCAGCATGCCAACGGCCATCAAAGGTGAGCATTTGCCCACTGAAGTCGGTTACGACACCGTACTACAGTCAGGTCAAGACACTGGTGAGGACAACAAGAACGCAGATGAGCTTCCTTGAGATGGCTTCTGACTGTTGCTGTGAACGTATTACCGCCACACCAGTGGTCACGAGTCATGAAGGCAGTCAAATTCCACATTACCTTTTAGTCACGGTAATTAGGCTTCTCCAAGCTCTGATGCTGCTGCTGGTCATTAGTAGCCTACCAAACTTGCTAACTGCCTTGGACTCAGCAGTCTATTGTCCCTCTAATCACTCTGAAATCAATGCAAATGTATTCTAAATCTAATCAAACACTTAATGAGAGCCCATGAGCTCATGTTGCGCAACATTTCTATAGGCTATGCAATTGCAGGAGAAAACAGAGTGATGGCCGCAAATAAAAAGAGGAGGATCCCATCAGCTTTCTATAGGCTAGGTCTACTATATTTATTTCTCAACTTTCCTAATATTAAGCACATTGCGTATATTTACAACAGGAGTATAGCCTACCTGGCTGGCTTGAAAATAAACCATGGGGAAAAGCGTCCTCCATTCGCTATTTAAGTGCATAGATTACATGTATTTTTTTCCGCTGCCCCTGTTTCGATACAGGTGCATGATAATGGTCCATTCTAAATCAAAACAAATTTCACACATATATTATTTAGTATATGTAAAGACAAGATTAAATCAAGAATAGTATGATGGGTGACAATATTAGCTTATCACTTGTGAATGATATATTATCACTTGTGAATGATGCCCAGCATAAGAAACAATGCCTTTTTTTTGGCAACTTGTTCGAATCATAGTCGCACACGTCATGTAGCCTAGCCCATAGGCCTATTGTCACGCGACGTGTATGCGGTCAGCGAAGTCAAACGCAGGACACAGAGCGGCTGGCAACGTACTTTTACTGAACACAGTAAAAAAAGTACAAAAACAACAAACCTCCAAACAGGAAGGAAAACACAATAACCCGTACACCAAAGCAACTGCCGGAATGACAAAGAACAATCACACACAATAACCAATGAGAGACAGGGGGTAATATGGGGAATACAATCCAACATAATGGGAAACAGGTGTAAACAATAAAGACCAAACAAGACAAACACCGAAACATCGATCGGCAGTAGCTAGTACTCCGGGGACGACGAACGCCGAAGCCTGCCCGAGCAAGGAGGAGGAGCAGCCTCGGCTGAATCCGTGACACCTATATGTTTTAATAAGGTTTGTATCACAACTAAAGTGGCCAAATAACTTCTTAAAATTAGGCACATTAATCCGCTTTACAAGGGGTGTAGAGCCTAACTGGCATATATAAGCAGCGCATGAGTTTCAAGTTTGGGGAAGATCATTTTCACCATAAAAATGCACCTTTATAATAAAAGCGTTACATGCATAATTGCATTTGCGGTCACTTTTGATAATGGTGTTTTCCGCTAATGGAACTTTCGCGCTTATAGCCTACTACCATGTGCGCATTGCTGCGTTATAATGTGAAGAAATAGCCTAATAGTTTATCAACATTTTAAGCTAAACATTCTGATCTGTTGTGTCAGCCACATTGTATAAAAAATGTTTTTTGATGCTAGTGGTTGTATTAATTTGGGATCTATCGCATCCCACAACTGTCCCAGACTATGTTTGGCATATTTATTTCTCGCACAGAATAGAATAGGTCAACTTTTGTACTATGGGGGATAGTAGATTGACATAGGCTAGTGCTTTTGCTGTTTGTTAGGCCTACTCATCTTGTTGGCTGACGAAAAGTAAATGTGTAAGTGACAGTTCTTCCAATATCTTCAATATGCTCGGTTTATCTTCAATAAACCTCGGAATTGGATAAGGATGCGCGCAGTTGCGTCCCCGATGTGTCTGTCTTAACTTGTAGCCTGTGAGAAAGACCCGATCAAGTGACGGAGAGCGGTGAGAGTGAGAGACGCTTCGGATTGCGCAGCACACTCAGGGAGAAGGGCACAACGCAGCACTCCCAGCCGCAAAAGGCATGGATTATTTTAGGGTGCATTATGGCCACAAAGGGGATGCCGCCGTGAAATTCGAGGCATTATCAAGTGCTTGTCAAATTGTGAATGAGAGACTATTGGAGTGTGTACAGCCTGCGCAAAAAACTAAGCAGAGCTCATGGCTTTCAAGCAACTTTTTCAAACCATCATTAGAGTCTCATCATGCAACCTTACAATGTATTAAAAATCAAAACATACAGCCCAACGTTTGTAGAACAACTAAAGTTACATGAATAACTCTAAATTAAGAATATAGGAGTACCTATTTATTTGTTAACCGTTCAAATCATTTGGAGAAAATATTTATATTTTATTCAGCTTTGTTCAATTGGATTCTTCATACCATAAAATAATATAAAAAAATGCCATGGAATTATAAGCAAATCTTGTCTGCTAAATGAACTAGTGTAGCCCACAGCCATTTGGCATAACCACATCAGGACCTAACATAAGGACAACTCAGAGTATGCTATTCTTTTCTTCTGAAATAGACTACATTTTCTTCATATCATGCTTCTTTAGACCTGTCTAAAATAAATAAGGGATTTATTGTGAAGGTGTAGGCTATATTACATGGATTTATTAGACTTTTTTAAATGGCTTGTAGGCAATGTGTGGAAGCCAGGAGATGCTAAATGTGTTTATGTTAATTAATGGTCAATTACAGTGAGACCTACAGTTATTTGCTTGACAATCACCGGCACAGCCCTAGAACTTGGACATACTGCCAAATTCTCTAAAATGACATTGGAGGCGGCTTATGGTAGAGAAATGAGCATTAAATTATCTGGCAACAGCTTTGGTGGACATTCCTGCAGTCAGCATGCCAATTGCAGGCTCCCTCAACACTTGAGACATTGGTGGCATTGTGTTGTGTGACAGAACTGCACATTTTAGAGTTGTCTTTTATTGTTCCCAGCACAAGGTTCACCTGTGTAATGATCATGCTGTTTAATCAGCTTCTTGATATGCCACACCTGTCAGGTGGATGGATTATCTTGGCAAAGGAGAAATGCTCACTAACAGGGATGTAATAAGCTTTTTGTGCTTATGGAACATTTCTGGGATCATATATTTCAGCTCATGAAACATGGGACCAACACTTTACATGTTGCGTTTATATTTTCGTTCAGTGTACATATTGGAACCATCTTACAGATTGTTTTCACACCTCCAGAAGTTGCATTGCATGCATGCCAGCGACATTCTCAACATAAAACTAGGACAGTGAATCATTCTAATAAGTTTGGTTTTAATACAATTCAACAAAAAATAAGCAATCTGTTCATTTTTTTCAACAATGATAAATACAGTACCTTTGGAAAGTATTCAGACCCCTTGACTTTTTCACATTTTGTTACGTTACAGCTTTATTCTGAAATTGATTTTTAAAAAATTGAAATCTCATCAATCTACACACAATACCCCATAATGACAAAGCAAAAACAGGTTTTTAGAAAGTGTTGCTAATTTATTGAAAATAAAAAAACGGAAATATTACATTTACATAAGTATTCAGACCCTTTACTCAGTACTTTGTTGAAGCACCTTTGGCAGCGATTACAGCATCGAGTCTTCTTGGGTATGACGCCACAAGCTTGGCACACCTGTATTTGGGGAATTTCTCCCATTCTTCTCTGCAGATCCTCTCAAGCTCTGTCATGTTGGATGGGGAGCGTTGCTACACAGCTATTTTCAGGTCTCTCCAGAGATGTTCGATCGGGTTCAAGTCCGGGCTCTGGCTGGGCCACTCAAGGACATTCAGAGACTTATCCCGAAGCCACTCCTGCGTTGTCTTGGCTGTGTGCTTAGGGTTGTTGTCCTGTTGGAAGGTGAACCTTCACGCCAGTCTGAGGTCCGGAGCGCTCTGGAGCAGGTTTTCATCAAGGATCTCTCTATACTTTTTTCTGTTCATCTTTCCCTCGATCCTGACTTGTCTCCCAGTCCCTGCCGCTGAAAAACATCCCCACAGCATGATGCTGCCACCACCATGCTTCACCGTAGGGATGGTTCCAGGTTTATTCCAGATGTGACGCTTGGCATTCAGGCCAAAGAGTTCAATCTTGGTTTCATCATTTACCATAAAGGCCTGATTGGTGGAGTGCTGCAGAGATGGTTGTCCTTCTGGAAGGTTCTCCCATCTCCACAGAGGAACTCTAGAGCTCTGTCAGAGTGACCATCAGGTTCTTGGTCACCTACCGGACCAAGGCCCTTCTCCCCCGATTGCTCAGTTTGGCCGGGCGGTCAGCTCTAGGAAGAGTCTTGGTGGTTGCAAACTGCTTCCATTTAAGAATGATGGAGGCCACTGTGTTCTTGGGGAGCTCCTGTCTCGGAGCTCTACAGACAATTCCTTCGACCTCATGGCTTGGTTTTTGCTCTGACATGCACTGTCAACTGTGGAACCTTATATAGACAGATGTGTGCCTTTCCAAATCATGTCCAATCAATTGAATTTACCACAGGTGGACTCCAATCAAGTTGTAGAAACATCTCAAGGATGATCAATGGAAACAGGATGCACCTGACCTCAATTTCGAGTCTCATAGCAAAGGGTCTGAATACTTATGTAAATAAGGTATTTCTGTTTTAAATTTTTAAGACATTTGCAAAAGTTTCTAAAAACCTGTTTTCGCTTTGTCAGTATGGGGTATTGTGTGTAGATTGCTGAGAATAAAGAAATATTTAATCAATTTTAGAATAAGGCTGTAACGTTACAAAATGTGGATAAAGTCAAGGGGTCTGAATACTTTCCCGAAGGCACTGTACATGTAAAATTTTATGATATCATAAAATCGGCATCATAAAAAAAGACAGGATGCATTGCTGTTGAACCAGCCTTCGTTATAGTAGGCTTATAGGGTAAGGGTGGCCTACGGAGGGCTTCTTTTTTTTTCTTTTTTTATGAACCGGAAACAAACACAGAGGTTCTCATCTCTCGTTTCATGATGGGCATGGAAACATATAGCCTACATCATTGAGGGGGTTTTACGCACGTCCAAAGCATGGCTAAAATAATGTAGGCCTGCCTACAATACATAGATAAAAAGGAAATGTCAAGTCACTGTTTTGCTCCTCTCAAACTTGATATTTTAATAAAGCTTTGGTGATTAAGATGTATTTCCAAGCAGTCTCATGACGAGCCAAACACTTTATTGGTGGTCTTGACTAGCCTACATGATTACATTGGGCAGGACACAAATAAAAAAATAATTAATTGAATGCGAAGCATACAGGCACCAAATCACATATTGGGCAGTGTTCATCACCACTGGATAGACTGCGTTTCCACTGTCAAAATGCATGCCATAACCAACTGCGTTACTGCTAAAACCAGCTTTTGGTTAGTCTTAAATATCCCTACCAGCGCTGCCTGAAATTAGCACTTGGATCATGTTTTAAGGACACGTCTCAAATATTTCCACCCCTCCCATCTGAGCGCAAGCGTGCTGATTTTAGACAGGTAAATTGCCGAACTTGGCGTTAGGGCTAGAAAATGCCAGTGCGCCAGTTTTTACATGACGATATTGCAAACTAATGTGCGTTTGACACTAGCGCCGCCTTAACGCCAACCGAAAATAGAGACCAGTGTCACGCCCTGGCTCTGGGGACTCTTGTATGTTGAGCCAGGGTGTTAGTTTCTTTGTGTAGTGTCTATGTTTCGTTTTCTATGTTCTGTTCTAGGTGATGTGTTTCTATGTTGGCCGGGGTGGTTCTCAATCAGAGGCAACGAGAATCAGCTGTTGCTTGTTGTCTCTGATTGGGAACCATACTTAGGCAGCCTGTTGTGCACTTGTGTTTTGTGGGATCTTGTTCCGTGTTGGTTTGTGTTCATAACCGAGGACTTCACGTTTCGTTTGGTTGTTTTGTATTTTGCATCGTGTTGCCAGTACACTATTAAAAAGATGTACGCATATGACGCTGCGCCTTGGTCCAATCATTATGACGATCGTGACAACCAGAGAATACCTATTGAATTGAAATAGCGGGGAACAGATACAGTCACATTCAGGACTGAGAATACTCAATATGTTAAACACACTATATGAATACATATTACATAGCCACTTTTTGTCAGGATGTAGGCCTACTTACAGACTTGGGGTTGGGATGGTAGCGTGTGGTGTCACAGACAACGCTATAGCCAATCAGACGGTCCCCAGGGAACAGGAAGGTGGAGCCTACAGGGGAGAGCAACACTTCCTTGGTCTCAGGGAACAACCAGTCGATGGCAATGTCACTCAGCACTGGGGCCATGGTCTTCTTCAGAGACTTGATCATCTGGGAGAATATAAATAGACAGAAATACAGTTGAAATAGAATAGAAAGAGAGATCTATTGAAATTATTATTTTCAGTGACTTAATAATAATACTACTTTGGTGGGTGCTTATATTTGTCCTATTTCACACATGAACAAGTGTGTATTATATGCATGTGTGAATTGGAAATTCATTTTTTGCATATTCCAACTCTCCCTGAGACCCCCTCAGAGAGTGGGGTCACGGCCAGGGTCTGCCATTATCAACAACCCTGGAGCAATTAGGGTTAAGTGCCTTGCTCAACGGCACATTGACAGATTTTTCACCTTGTTGGCTCGGGGATTCAAACTAGCAACTATCTGGTTGCTGGCCCAACGCTCTAACCGCTAGGCTACCTGCCGCATATAGACAGAGAGATGCAGGTGACATAGCCTTGAGTTCCAACGTTATAGAAGTTAAGTACGGATCGCAAAAACATAGCATTCCGCGTTTGGGCTCGTGAGACTACAGATGGCATAGAATAGAGATCTATTGAAATTATTACGACATACCCAGTAACCCTCTGCCTGTACAATAAAATGGTGACATTGTATGTCTGCATGTCTCTGTTGCCTTGAGTTTTACATATTGGTAATGAGAAAACAAGCCTGTAAGCCTGTGAGAATGGAATAATTCATTCTTTCAAAAGTATGCTGTGGAGCAGACTGATTCTAATGGGTGTTTTGCTCAACAAAATTAATTGGTAATTGGTAACAGTAGAGAGCTCTCTGTCTGAATAATTTGCATCCACTGCATAATGACCCTCCTCTATGACGTTAAGAATAGCTGGTTGTCACAGAGAGGAGGATAAACATGTCATTGGAAATTAAGACCTTGGGCTGCAGTCTCTCCCCTTCTGCCAAGAACTGTGCCGTTCCTTTGGAAACAGTAGCCAGTCCAGTCACCAGTCTCCTGCAAGCACTCTGACCGATGCCGAAAGTGTAGCACCTGCCAACACAAGATACACATCTCCTTAGCTCAGGCTTAGAGAAAGACCTGAAAAGATCTATCTGTATCTGAGCCTAATAAAAGTCACACACCTTATCTCTCAGAGAAACATGCATTCCCTTACAGTGACAGACCTATTGAGATGGTCTGGTGGTACATAGTGGTGATGCTATATTACAAAACAGCCCCCCCTCAAAGTATTGGGTTTTATCAGTAATGTAATTTGCAGCGCATCGTAGCAGAAAACTAAGATGCCAAACTGGAAATTGTATTTCAGTCTTGAAAGCCAAGACGTGCCTGGGGAGTGAGTTTCTTGAAAAGGAGAGCGAGAGAGAGAGAGAGAGAGAGAGAGAGAGAGAGAGAGAGAGAGAGAGAGAGAGAGAGATTGAGAGAGTGAGAGACCGAAAGAGAGAGCGAGAGTGAGAGAGAGAGATTGAGAGATCGAGAGAGATCGAGAGATCGAGAGAAAGGGAGAGAGAGAAATGATCGGACTTGGCTGATGAAGGTCTATTTTCATCATCCAGTCTAATGTTGCATCTCATCAGTTTTCTCATTAGGTTTGTCAATTACACTTCACACCTCATACTGAGGATGAATTAGAGATGGCTGAACACCAGCAGATGCACCAGCGATGCTCCTCTGCATAATTGATGAGGTCAAACAGTGGGGATTAAAAAGGAAAAGCATCCTTTAGCATAGCTACATGTCTGACGTGGACTCCTGGGCGGTGTCCCAAATGTCCCAAAAGGTAGTGCACTACGTAGGGAATAGGGTGCCATTTGGGACGCAGTCCTGGTAGCAGAGATTCATTAGTATTTGCTCTGTCCACTGACCGGGGGTGTGCTGATTTGTGAGTGTGGAGCCATAATCATTCTGGATGCGTGGGCGGATTGGCCGGATCACTGTGTATCTAATCCAATCATCTAGGGGCATTCATCCATTAAAAAGGGGAAGACTTAAAGTCATTAAATCAGGAGTGGTTCAGGAGAGGATGACTGCGGACTGAGATTGCAGATGCAACAACCAAAGTGAAACAATAACCCATTCCTTGCAGAGAGTACTGTGTTATTGGCGTTCTTGCTCTATCAACAGCTGGTGTTATGATTCTGCAGGGGCATGTTCGGAGCGTCAGCGTGTTGCAGTGTTTGAAAATATTACCATTACCAATAACATATGACATTGTAGTCACACCGAATAATATCAAGAACTGTGCAAACATAAGGTGCATATTTCCAAGCTTCATTTTAAAAGGATTACTGAGCAAAAACAAGGTTTTGCACTTAAGCTCCCTCCAATCCCCTAGCCTTGATTACATGTCTGAATGGCTTGTTGTGCATAATAAGCATGAACAAGAGAGGGCATGCATTAGCAAGCCCCATCATATTGAATGGGTTAATTGCAACCATCGAAAGCCACCAGATTATCGCCATCTGATCTCTTGTTAAACCATCAATATGCTCTAAAATCACCCGCACAGCTGATCTCAATTGCAACCAACATAGGCCAGCAATTTACCGCTCCCTATCGGATGTCGAGATTCTCTTCTAGTCTTGATTGCAGCCAACATTTTCCAATACTATTTCGCCCTCTGGTTGGTAATATTATCGGAACAACAGTCATACTTTTTGAGCAGACTAAGGGTGATTTATCTATTTGACAATCATTCCGTACAACTGAAATAAAGTATTTCCTTGTTTACCATGATCAAATCTACTGTGGCAATTTACCCAACACGTTGTACGAATGGAAAACTAATGTTGATGGTGTAAACCAGGGGTATTCAACCAGGGGTCCGTGGCCCCTTAGGGGTCTGTGAATGTACTGCAGGGGGTCCGTGAAAAAAATGAATATATACCAGTCAAAAGTTTGGACACACCTACTCATTCAAGGGTTTTTCTTTATTTTGACTTTTTTCTACATTGTAGAATAATAGTGAAGACATCAACTGCCAGGTCGCAGTTGTAAATGAGAACTTGTTCTCAACTGGCTTACCTGGTTAAATAAAGGTGAAATAAAAATAAAATAAAAATAAAAATAAAAACTACACATATGGAATCATGTAGTAACAAAAAAAGTGTTAAACAAATCAAAATATATTTTATATTTTATATTCTTCAAAGTAGCCACCCTTTGCCTTGATGACAGCTTTGCACACTCTTGGCATTCTCTCAACCAGCTTCGTGAGTTATAAAGAATAAAGAAAAACCCTTGAATGAGCAGGTGTGTCCACATTTTTGACTGGTACTGTACATACAGTGTCACACTCTGGCTCCGGGACTGTGTGTTAGAGCCAGGGTGTATTTCATTTGGTGGTGTTGGGGATGGGTGTGTTTCATTTGTTTGTGTTTAGTGGTGATTGGTCAATGACTCCCAATCGGAGGTAACGAGTGTCAGCTGTCGGCTCGTTATCTCTGATTGGGAGCCATATTTAAACTGTGTGTTTTCACTTTATGGTTGTGGGTTTTTGTTCCATTGTTCCTGTGTTTCAGTGTTCCGTGTTTTTGTCACTGAGGACGTTACGATCGTGTTTTGTTTCATTTTCGTGTGTGCGCTTTATATTAATAAAGTATGTATGCTTATCACGCTGCGCCTTGGTCCGCTCATTTTGAAGACGATCGTGACAGAAAAACCCACCATAAAGGGACCAAGCAGCGCGTCCAGGAACAAAGGGTCTGGACATGGATGGAACTGTTGGACGGTAAAGGGTCCTGGACTTGGGAGGAGATCCTGGATGGTATGGATCGCCGACCATGGAACGAGACGGTGGAGAGGCGACGGCGAGAGGAGCAACGGCATCGGCAGGGCCATCGTCGGAAGGACGAGAGGCAACCCCAAAAAGTTTTTGGGGGGGGGCACATGGCTTGGGCGACTGAGCAGCAGGAGGCTGCCACAAGGCAGATTCAGAAGGCTACCAGGTTAAGGGGGCTGACGGAGGCAGAGAAGGGACGGATTCAGGAGGCTACCAGGTTAAGGGGGTCACTGGCCAAAGTAGGGAAAGGAGATGTAGAGGCACGGCGTGAGAGACTGAGGTGTGTATCCAGTCCGGTCCGGCCCGTTCCTAATCCCGAGGTACAGCCAGTAGTGTGTGTCCCCAGTACGGTACGGCCTGTTCCGGCCCCTCGCACTAAGTGTAAGGTGCGCGTCGCCAGCCCAGCCCGGCCTGTTCCTGAGCCTCATACGAAGCCTACGGTGCGCGTCGCCAGCCCAGCCCGGCCTGTTCCGGCCACTCGCACCAGGGATACGGTGCGCTTCGCCAGCCCGGCCCGGCCTGTTCCGGCCACTCGCACCAGGGATACGGTGCGCGTCGCCAGCTCAGCCCGGCCTGTTCCTACTCCACGCACCAGGGATACGGTGCGCTTCGCCAGCCCGGCCCGGCCTGTTCCGGCCACTCGCACCAGGGATACGGTGCGCGTCGCCAGCCCAGCCCGGCCTGTTCCTACTCCACGCACCAGGGATACGGTGCGCTTCGCCAGCCCGGCCCGGCCTGTTCCGGCCTCTCGCACCAGAGATACGGTGCGCGTCGCCAGCCCAGCCCGGCCTGTTCCTGCTCTCCGCACTAGGCCTACGGTGCGTCCCCAGGGCCAAGCATGCCCTGTTGCTTCTCCCCGCACTAGCCCTGAGATGCGTGTCCTCAGCCCGGTACCTCCAGTTCCGGCACCACGCATCAGGCCTACGGTGCGTCCCCAGGGCCAAGCATGCCCTGTTGCTTCTCCCCGCACTAGCCCTGAGATGCGTGTCCTCAGCCCGGGACCACCAGTTCCGGCACCACGCACTAGGCCTTGTGTGCGTCCCCAGGATCCGTCAGCCAGCCATGAGCAGCCAGATCCGTCAGCCAGCCATGAGCAGCCAGATCCGTCAGCCAGCCATGAGCAGCCAGATCCGTCAGCCAGCCATGAGCAGCCAGATCCGTCAGCCAGCCATGAGCAGCCAGATCCGTTAGCCAGCCATGAGCAGCCAGATCCGTCAGCCAGCCATGAGCAGCCAGATCCGTCAGCCAGCCATGAGCAGCCAGATCCGTCAGCCAGCCATGAGCAGCCAGATCCGTCAGCCAGCCATGAGCAGCCAGATCCGTCAGCCAGCCATGGGCAGCCAGATCCGTCAGCCAGCCATGAGCCGTCCAGCCAGGATCCGCCAGAGCCGTCCAGCCGGGATCCGCCAGAGCCGTCCAGCCGGGATCCGCCAGAGCCGTCCAGCCGGGATCCGCCAGAGCCGTCCAGCCGGGATCCGCCAGAGCCGTCCAGCCGGGATCCGCCAGAGCCGTCCAGCCGGGATCCGCAAGAGCCGTCCAGCCGGGATCCGCCAGAGCCGTCCAGCCGGGATCCGCCAGAGCCGTCCAGCCGGGATCCGCCAGAGCCGTCCAGCCGGGATCCGCCAGAGCCGTCCAGCCGGGATCCGCCAGAGCCGTCCAGCCGGGATCCGCCAGAGCCGTCCAGCCAGGATCCTCCAGCCAGCCAGGATCCACCAGAGCCAGCCAGCCAGGATCCGCCATTTAGTCCGGTGCTGCCCCTTAGCTCGGTGTTGCTCCTTATCCTGGTGCTGTCCCTTATCCTGGTGCTGCCCCTTAGTCCGGTGCTGTCCCTTAGCTCGGTGCTGCTCCTTATCCTGGTGCTGTCCCTTAGTCCGGTGCTGCCCCTTAGTCCGGTGCTGCCTCTTAGTCCGGTGCTGCCCCTTAATCCAGGTGGGTTAGGTTGTAGGGTGGTCAAATGGAGGAGGCTACTAAAGCGGGTAGTGACTATGGTGGGGTGGGGACCACGACCAGTGCCAGAGCCGCCTCCGAGGAGCAACACCCACCCAGCCCTCCCCATTTTTTGGGTTAGGCGCGGTCGGAGTCCGCGCCTTTGGGGGGGGGTACTGTCACACTCTGGCTCCGGGACTGTGTGTTAGAGCCAGGGTGTATTTCATTTGGTGGTGTTGGGGATGGGTGTGTTTCATTTGTTTGTGTTTAGTGGTGATTGGTCAATGACTCCCAATCGGAGGTAACGAGTGTCAGCTGTCGGCTCGTTATCTCTGATTGGGAGCCATATTTAAACTGTGTGTTTTCACTTTATGGTTGTGGGTTTTTGTTCCATTGTTCCTGTGTTTCAGTGTTCCGTGTTTTTGTCACTGAGGACGTTACGATCGTGTTTTGTTTCATTTTCGTGTGTGCGCTTTATATTAATAAAGTATGTATGCTTATCACGCTGCGCCTTGGTCCGCTCATTTTGAAGACGATCGTGACATACAGTGCATTCGGAAAGTATTCAGATCCCTTCTGTTTTTCGACATTTTGTTACGTTACAGCCTTATTCAAAAATGGATTAATTTTTTTTTTTAATCCTCATCAATCTACACACAATACCCCATAATATCAAAGCGAAAACAGGTTTTTAGAAATGTTTGCAAATGTATTAAAAATAAAAAACAGAAGTACTCAGACCCTTTGCTATGAGACTCAAAATTGAGCTCAGGTGCATCCTGTTTCCATTGATCATCCATGTTTCTACAACTTGATTGGAGTCCACCTGTGGTAAATTCAATTGATTAGACATCATTTGGAAAGGCACAATCCTGTCTATATAAGGTCCCACAGTTGACAGTGCATGTCAGAGCAAAAACCAAGCCTTGAGGTTGAAGGAATTTTCCATAGAGCTCCGAGACAGGATTGCACAGATCTGGGGAAGGGTACCAAAATATTTCTGCAGCATTGAAGGTTCCCAAGAACACAGTGGCCTCCATCCTTCTTAAATGGAAGATGTTTGCAACCACCAAGACTCTTCCTAGAGCTGGCTGCCCGGCCAAACTGAGCAATCGGGGGAGAAGGGCCTTGGTCAGGGAGGTGACCAAGAACCCGATGGTCACTCTGACAGAGCTCCAGAGTTCCTCTGTGGAGATGGGAGAACCTTCCAGAAGGACAACCATCTCTGCAGCACTCCACCAATCAGGTCTTTATGGTAGAGTGGCCAGACGGAAGCCACTCCTCAGTAAAAGACACATGACAGCCCACTTGGAGTTTGCCAAACTTCACTTAAAGGACTCTCAGACCATGAGAAACAAGATTATCTGGTCTGATGACACCAAAATTGAACTCTTTGGCCTGAATGCCAAGCGTCACGTCTGGAGTAAACCTGGCACCATCCCTACGGTGAAGCAAGGTGGTGGCAGCATCATGTTGTGGGGATGTTTTGCAGCGGCAGGGACTGGGAGACTAGTCCGGATCGAGGGAAAGATGAATGGAGCAAAGTATATTAAAATATTATTATATTAGATCCTTGATGAAAACCTGCTCCAGAGCGCTCAGGATCTCAGACTGGGGCAAAGGTTCACCTTCCAACAGGACAACGACCCTAAGCACACAGCCAAGACAACGCAGAAGTGGCTTCGGGACAAGTATCTGAATGTCCTTGAGTGGCCCAGCCAGAGCCCGGACTTGAACCTGATCGAACATCTCTGGAGAGACCTGAAAATAGCTGTGCAGCAACACTCCCCATCCAACCTGACAGAGCTTGAGAGGATCTGCCTAGAAGAATGGGAGAAACTCCCCAAATATAGGTGTGCCAAGCTTGTAGCGTCATCCCCAAGAAGACTAGAGGCTCTAATCGCTGCCAAAGGTGCTTCAACAAAGTAAAGGGTCTGAATACTTATGTAAATATGATATTTCTGTTTTTAAAATTGTAATACACAATCATTTATAAAAACCTGTTTTTGCTTTGTCATTATTGGGTATTGTGTGCAGATTGATGAGGATTTTTATTTATTTAATCCATTTTAGAATAAGGCTGTAACCTAACAAAATGTGGAAAAAGTCAAGGGGTCTGAATACTTTCTGAATGCACTGTAATCTTCCCCCACCCCCCATAAAAAAAAGGTGGTTGTCCCACTGGCTATCATAAGTTGAATGCACCAATTTGTAAGTCGCTCTGGATAAGAGTGTCTGCTAAATTATGTAAATGTAATAAATTAATCTATTTTTTTAATCAAATTAAAATGTAGTGTATAAAGTTATTTCAAATGGCATATATTATATAATTTTTCCATTGGTGAAATGTTTGAATGAAATATAGGCCTACTACTTCTATATTCTTATATTCTAATTAGTATTTTTACATTCATCAGCCTTACAGCTTCCGATGTTCCTGATAGGTCGATATTTCATTGGGGGCGGGAGTAGAGAATCTAGACCAGCTGTCTGGTATCATAATCACTAGACACTGTAACAACGAGAGATCAACTGATTTGCTGGTTTATCCTTGTGGGTTTTTCGTTTCAATCAAGCTTAGTTTAGCCTGCAGGTGCATGTAATCTCCCGTTAATAGCGTTTTAACAGCGCTGGAGCTAAAAACTGTAAACTGTATAGCTCATGAGACTGTGTATGCAAGGTGCTATGGGCAATTCCACGGTAACGGAATTACATTATGGTTACCTGATCTGTACTCCCCAGAATATAGACTCTTAGCTATCATTTGACATCCAATTTTATATGCTCCTATGAACTTCACATGTTGGTGCTCATGGGTTCTTTTCGATGGAAATGCCATCATTTTGAATAGGGTGGTCTATAGCAATTGGAGACAACAAAGTTAAGTAAGTTGATGGTGTGTTTACCTGGTGTAGCGGGCATGGCTGCGGACGAGCTCGATGACCTTCCCTGTGTTGCTGACGGCCCCATCTGTGAGCAGGAAGAGCATGCGTGGATGACCCACGTGCATGGGCTGCCTCAGGATCCAGTTGAGTGGTGCCAGGATGTTGGTGCCGCCCATGTCAGCTCGGATCTTCCTGATGTACTCACAAGCCATGGTTACTGTTTCCTGAAGCATGGAGATGACAGGGGAGAAGCATTTTACTAGTCTCAAGTCTCTTGTGACAGACACTTGTACAGAGGCAGACAAGCGTGTCTGTGACTTATACTCACACTACGACTACATTTACAGTTATATTTTTTGACATTTAGCAGACGCTCTTAACCAGAACGACTTACAGGAGCAATTAGGGTTAAGTGCCTTGCTCAAGGGCACATTGACAGATTTTTCACCTTGTTGGCTCAGGGATTCGAACCAGCGATATTTTGGTTACTGGCCCAACGCTCTTAACCGCTATGCTACCTGTCGCCCCTACCTGTACTACTTGTAGCTGTGGAATCTGGCATGCAAGATTAAGCATTTACTAATAGAGATTTTATCACTGACAAGCAGTTCAATAATATTGAAAAAATAAACACTATATGTTCTGCCTGCCTCATACCTCATCATAGCTCTGACTGGTAGTAAACAGTGTTTTGAATGTGGAGCCGAAGCCGATGATGTTGAAGAGGCTGGCAGGCACAATGCTCTTCAGGATCACCACCATGGCATCCTGGGAACAGAACAGACATGACAGAAACACAAGGTCAAGATGAAGGAGAGGAGAATGAAAAAAGGGGGAAATATGGAGAGAGAGAGAGAGAGAGAGAGGGAGAGAGAGAGGGAGAGAGAGAAAGAGGGAGAGAGAGAGGGAAGAGAGAGAAGAGGGAGAGAGAGAGAGGGAAACGGAGAAAGAGGAGAGAGAGAGGGAAACTGAGAAAGAGGAGAGAGAGAGGAGAGCAAAAGAAAGAGAGAGGGTGAGAGCGGAAGAGAGGAGAGAAGCTAAGCGAGAGAGAGAGGGAGAGACTCTATTTTGGAGGTCGAGGACTACAGAATTGGATTTCTAGATGGGTCCCCTTACAGATAAGGAGGGAGTTTGGGCTGGAGAGACGAGAAAGAGAGAGAGATAGAGCGAGGGAGATAGGGAGGAAAGAGAGACAGAGAGAGAGAGAGAGCAAGAAAATAAAAGGAAGAAGAACAAGACAGTCAATCTTTAAGACATTCTCTAACAACCAGCCTTGTTCACCTGGCTGCAAGTGTTCTTCTTGACCTTCAAACATTTTCGGCTGCAGCAGTTTGACCAGATTACAACTCTAAGCCATCTTCTCAGCAGGCTGGTTATTATACACTGGAGAGCGTCTTTGTGGTGCACTAGAGAAGTGCCATATAATTATGATTATCTCTGTGTGACAGAGGTGCGGGCCAGTGTATTATTAGAAAGAGTATGTTCAATAACAAACCATTCATTCCAAGTTTGGCTGTAATCATATTTCACTGTATTATGTATTTATTTTTTTACACCATATTGTGTATTTAATACCCTTTCAATGTGAAAGTTTTATTTATTTATGACTGGAAAAACCAATTCAAATCAAAGTTTATTGGTCGCGTACACAGATTTGCAGATGTTATCGCAGGTGCAGTGAAATGCTTGTGTTACCAGCTCCAACACTGCAGTAATACCTAGCAATAATAAAATAAAATAAAAGAATGCTATACACACATAATCCAAAAAACTAAAGAAATTAAGAAATATCAGAACGACCGGAATATAAATATATACACTGAGTACACAAATCATTAAGAACACCTTCCTATTATTGAGTTTCACATCCTTTTGCCCTCAGAACAGCCTCAATTCATTGGGGCATGGACTTACAAGGGACTCTACAGGGATGCTGACCCATGTTGACTCCAATGCTTCCCACAGTTGAGTCATGTTGGCTGGATGTCCTTTGGGTGGTGGTCCATTCTTGATACACACGGGAAACTGTTGAGCGTGAAAAACCCAGCAACGTTGCAGTTCTTGACACACTCAAACCGGTGTGCCTGGCACCTACTACCATACCCCGTTCAAAGACACTTAAATACCCTCTGAATGGCACACATTCACAATCCCATGTCTCAATTGTCTCAAGGCTTAAAAATCCTTCTTTAACCTGTCTCCTCCCCTTCATCTACACTGATTGAAGTGGATTTAACAGGTGATATCAATAACGTATCATAGCTTTCACCTGAATTCACCTGGTCAGTCTATATCATGGAAAGAGCAGGTGTTCTTAATGTTTTGTACACTCAGTGTGTAATGGTGAAGAGAAAGTAAATCCTGTAATTTCTGTGTTGCTATGACAAAAAGTTTACAGAAATGATTTCCTTTCTTTTACTCTCTAAAATACATAAATACAACTCTCCTCTGACCCAGTAACAGTAATGGCATTTTCTCTGTCATAAAGCATGCACGTATGAAGCACGTGTTATATGTAATGGACTTTCTTCATGACATGCAGCAATACAGAGAAAGTCAATAGGGAAGGTTATACCAGAGATTGATTAGAGAGACAGCTCACAGGAAAGTTCAATGTTTTTTGTCCATTTCAAGTCGTTGTGAACATAAAAAATCTCCACTGCTCTTTCTCCCCCTTCATTTTCAAAGGTGGTATCAAATTGGTGCTCGCTAGCATTTTGGGGTCGCTGGCATTTTGAGGTCATAGAAATCTCTCTTTCTCCTTATATTCAGTAAAAGACTATCACATTGGGGCCTGGCATTTTGGGGGACTTTCTGGCAGATTAAAGAAACTGAGGAGAAATGATTACATCATCACTGGTCTGACCTGGCTGGGCCTTTAAGTGTCAAGATGTCATAGGGAGAGGAGGCCCATCTCTCCCCAATCAGAAGATGTCTGAGTATGAGTCACGCTACCCTGCTGTGCGTAACAGAACAACAGGGGTTAGTCAAACATCACTGTCTCAGCCCAGCCTAATCAGGTAACATTACAGTCAGATGCACTGGAAATAAATAAATAAATAATATGCCACTTAGCAGACGCTTTTATCCAAAGCGACTTACAGTCATGCGTGCATACATTTTTGTGTATGGGTGGTCCCGGGGATCGAACCCACTACCCTGGCAAATAAAGGCTGAGATGAGATGAGTTTCCATTGACCTTTCCATCAAATGACCAGTGAGTCTTTGAGTCATTAATAGCACAATATGAATGCATAGCCTCTTACATATCTAATTAGTAAACTACGTTATTCCTTCATCATTTAGTTGCCCTTAAGTCTAACTACACTGTTTCAGTTCATTATGCTTATGCACTTCTTATGAATAGGTTACGTATGGGTTATGAATGTGTTATGAAGTCATGACAGTACCTTGACACAGCTGATGTTGACCCCGCTCATGCTCCCACTGCGGTCGATGAGGAAGATGAACTCTCCATGCACCTTCGTCAGGTCAGAGGTCATGGACTTGAGGTCTGGGCAGAAGTTGAGCATAACCGCAGGGTTGTGGAGGATGTCCTTGTGGAGACGCTTACGAATGATATCCACCTTCACTTGGCCACATGGTCAGAGGATAACATGATGAGAGGGTGAGAGAAGTGCTTGAGATCTAGTCTACACATGGTCAGAGGATAACATGATGAGAGGGTGAGACAAGTGCTTGAGATCTAGTCTACACATGGTCAGAGGATGCAGTAAGAAAAGGGTTAAAGAAAGAGAATGAGATCCCAATCACATCATGCAAGCTTTGAATAAGAGCCATATTCACATTCAGCAATAACTTTGTACATGTAATTTTTTTATACATAACTTACATATCACATTTGATAAGAAAAGCATTATGGTTTTATTAAAAGGAGCTATAGCTCTACAACACAGCTGTTTCCTTCATGCTAAGATGCATTAGATACGTAGATCTAACACTAAAATATTCTCCATATGGAACGTTTTTGATAAGCTGATTTCATCTATGCTTCTTAAATAAAAATGTATAATTCAAGGTAATTATGGTTGGGAATTTGTTTTAAATTGGACCCAAATTATTTGAGAGAGAAAGGGCACTCGATCAATTGGTGCATGTGTTCTTGCAGGTAGAAATTCCAAGCAGAACACTGAGGACCATTGGTGGTTTCCATAGTAACCCCTTTTTATCCCACACATCATTTTAGGCTAAGTGTCCTCTCTCTCCCTCCCATTGAGGTCTACTGGTCACTTAAGGATGTAATTGTATCTACCACCGTAGTGCCATTCAGACATGTGGAGAATAAGGTACAATCTGTACTGACACGATTTCACCTCAAGAAAAATAATAAACTCACCATTCAAACAACATACTGTATCTCCAATGTGTATCATTCATATGTGGTTTTAAAATGATCTCAGATAGGTTGAAATAAATAAATTGCTTTCATATAATAATAATGGACACAAGAATAATGGAAAACACTACTAATACAGGCCAAACCAGGTCTACCAAATCACGCAAAATGGGCAAAAGGTGTGGATATGCACACCCTTACGGAAAGAAAATTGCAGTCAGAGTGCAGTATAACTGCAGTACACTGTAGTATAACTGTAGTTAGTGTGCAGTATAACTGAAGTACACTGTAGTATAACTGTAGTCAGTGTGTAGTATAACTGCAGTACACTGTAGTATAACTGTAGTCAGAGTGCAGTATAACTGCAGTACACTGTAGTATACAGTGGGGGAAAAAGGTATTTAGTCAGCCACCAATTGTGCAAGTTCTTTTTTATGAATTGATTTGCAAATTATGGTGGAAAATAAGTATTTGGTCAATAACAAAAGTTTCTCAATACTTTGTTATATACCCTTTGTTGGCAATGACACAGGTCAAACGTTTTCTGTAAGTCTTCGCAAGGTTTTCACACACTGTTGCTGGTATATTGGCCCATTCCTCCATGCAGATCTCCTCTAGAGCAGTGATGTTTTGGGGCTGTCGCTGGGCAACACGGACTTTCAACTCCCTCCAAAGATTTTCTATGGGGTTGAGATCTGGAGACTGGCTAGGCCACTCCAGGACCTTGAAATGCTTCTTACGAAGCCACTCCTTCGTTGCCCGGGCGGTGTGTTTGGGATCATTGTCATGCTGAAAGACCCAGCCACGTTTCATCTTCAATGCCCTTGCTGATGGAAGGAGGTTTTCACTCAAAATCTCATGATACATGGCCCCATTCATTCTTTCCTTTACACGGATCAGTCGTCCTGGTCCCTTTGCAGAAAAACAGCCCCAAAGCATGATGTTTCCACCCCCATGCTTCACAGTAGGTATGGTGTTCTTTGGATGCAACTCAGCATTCTTTGTCCTCCAAACACGACGAGTTGAGTTTTGACCCAAAAGTTCTATTTTGGTTTCATCTGACCATATGACATTCTCCCAATCCTCTTCTGGATCATCCAAATGCACTCTAGCAAACTTCAGACGGGCCTGGACATGTACTGGCTTAAGCAGGGGGACACGTCTGGCACTGCAGGATTTGAGTCCCTGGCGGCGTAGTGTGTTACTGATGGTAGGCTTTGTTACTTTGGTCCCAGCTCTCTGCAGGTCATTCACTAGGTCCCCCCGTGTGGTTCTGGGATTTTTGCTCACCGTTCTTGTGATCATTTTGACCCCACGGGGTGAGATCTTGCGTGGAGCCCCAGATCGAGGGAGATTATCAGTGGTCTTGTATGTCTTCCATTTCCTAATAATTGCTCCCACAGTTGATTTCTTCAAACCAAGCTGCTTACCTATTGCAGATTCAGTCTTCCCAGCCTGGTGCAGGTCTACAATTTTGTTTCTGGTGTCCTTTGACAGCTCTTTGGTCTTGGCCATAGTGGAGTTTGGAGTGTGACTGTTTGAGGTTGTGGACAGGTGTCTTTTATACTGATAACAAGTTCAAACAGGTGCCATTAATACAGGTAACGAGTGGAGGACAGAGGAGCCTCTTAAAGAAGAAGTTACAGGTCTGTGAGAGCCAGAAATCTTGCTTGTTTGTAGGTGACCAAATACTTATTTTCCACCATAATTTGCAAATAAATTCATTAAAAACCCTACAATGTGATTTTCTGGATTTTTTCCCCTCAATTTGTCTGTCATAGTTGACGTGTACCTATGATGAAAATTACAGGCCTCTCTCATCTTTTTAAGTGGGAGAACTTGCACAATTGGTGGCTGACTAAATACTTTTTTTCCCCACTGTACCTATGATGAAAATTACAGGCCTCTCTCATCTTTTTGTGGGAGAACTTGCACAATTGGTGGCTGACTAAATACTTTTTCCCCCCACTGTAACTGTAGTCAGGGTACAATATAATGGCAGTACACTGTAGTATAACTGAAGTCAGAGTGTGATGGATATTTTTTAGTGGACTATGAGATAAAACTGGGTTAATCACGAACATAGAGTTAGAATTCTTTGTTGCTGGGCCAGGAACTTAATTGGGTAATTTCACTGTGTGTGTGGGGGTAAAGTGGGAATCTGACCTAGGGTCGAATTGCTCGCTCTTACTTAAATCCATGGCTGTCCTACTTTATCAGAGAGACTGAAACCAGACTGTGGCCTTTTGCCTCTCTCCTCAAACAAAGCGGAAGGAGCGGCCAGGGTAGGGAAGAGTTCAGGCTAAACCTTTGTCTCTCCTGGGGTATCTTCTTGATTGATTAAAGCATGATGGGGTGGGGTTTTGTGTATGTTTGAAAGATTTAAGTATGGACCTGTCATGTCCAACAATCAGTCTTCAGGTCAAGCCCGGGAGAGCCAGGGTTGAACAGAGTTTAAACTAAACATGAGTATTTTTGCAAGATAAGGGATTGATTGATTGTATTACTATTGATTCTGAACTGAATGAAAGTCGAATTTAGCCGCCATCATAGACAAAGGAAGTGGACGGAGTGATAAAGAGCGGGAAACTAAAGAGGGAGGGATTTTAAGCTAGGATGTGGGTGAAGGAGACTATATATAGAGGGATAGAAAGAGTGAGAGGGGGGCTACTCTGCAGACCAGCACAGGCTTTGTTGAATTGAAATAAAGTCACTCTTGATTCTACAAAAACTCTGGAAGGACTTTGATTTTTGTGTCAAGATCGTTTATAGACGGGACGGACCAAGGCGCAGCGTGATATGCCAACATGTTTATTTAACGAATAAACACACAACAAAACAACAAACGAAACGTGAAGTCCAAGGTAGCACACACCTTACACGGAACAAGATCCCACAACCCACTAGTGCCATTAGGCTACCTAAGTATGGTCCCCAATCAGAGACAAAAAGCGACAGCTGCCTCTGATTGAGAACCACACAGGCCAACATAGATCTAGACATACTAGATTCTACAACAATGAACAAACACAACACGGAATATACACACAAGTGACTCAACAAATAAACGTCCCCTGAGTCAGGGTGTGACTGTACCCCCCCCCCCCCCCCCCCCCCAAAGGTGCGGAATCCGACCGCGCCACATAAACATAACAGGGTAGGGGCCGGGTGGGCATTCCGCCTCGGAGGCGGATCCGGCTCCGGGCGTGACCACCACCTATTCTCCGCCTCCCTGTTGCGCCCCTGGTCAGGTCTGGACCTCAGCGCGCTGCTTCCCCTCTCCTTCCTCCCATGAAGTACCAAGCCCTGTCTGGACCCTGGTGTGGGAGACCCCGAACCTGGAGAGAGGCTGACGTCTGGGTCTGGACTGGAACCGCTGACTGGAGCTGGACCCGACGACGGTGGAGCAAACTGCTCTGGCTCCGGAGTGGAGCCGCTGACCGGAGCTGGATCAGGCACCGGTGGAGCGGACTGCTCTGGCTCCGGAGTGGAGCCGCTGACCGGAGCTGGACTGGACCCCGGTGGAGCGGATTGCTCTGGCTCCGGAGTGGAGCAGCTGACCGGAGCTGAACTGGGCACCGGTGGAGTGGACTGCTCTGGCTCCGGAGTGGATCCGCTGACCGGAGCTGGACTGGACCCCGGTGGAGCGGATTGCTCTGGCTCCGGAGTGGAGCAGCTGACCGGTGCCGGACCAGGCACCGGTGGAACAGGCACGGGCCGTGCCGGACTGGACACACGCACCACTGGCTTGGTGCGGGGAGCAGGGACGGGCCGGACCGGGCTGACGACGCGCACCACTGGCTTGGTGCGGGGAGCAGGAATGGGCCGGACCGGGCTGACGACGCGCACCACTGGCTTGGTGCGGGGAGCAGGAACGGGTCGTACCGGACTGGCGACGCGCACCACTGGCCTGGTGCGGGGGGAGCAGGAACAGGCCCGGGGCTGGGCCGGCCTGGCGACGCGCACCACTGGCTTGGTGCGAGGGGCAGGAACAGGCCGGGCCGGGCTGGCGACGCGCACCACTGGCTTGGTGCGAGGGGCAGGAACAGGCCGGGCCCGGGCTGCGACGCGCACCACTGGCTTGGTGCGAGGGGCAGGAACAGGCCGGGCCGGGCTGGCGACGCGCACCACTGGCTTGGTGCGAGGGGCAGGAACAGGCCGGGCCGGGCTGGCGACGCGCACCACTGGCTTGGTGCGAGGTGGCAGGAAACAGGCCGGGCCGGGCTGCGACGCGCACCACTGGCTTGGTGCGAGGGGCAGGAACAGGCCGGCCGGGCTGGCGACCGCACCACTGGTCTTGGTGCGAGGGGACAGGAAACAGGCCGGACCGGGGCTGGCGACGCGCACCACTGGCTTTGGTGCGAGGGGCAGGAAACAGGCCGGGCCGGGCTGGCGACGCGCACCACTGGCTTGGTGCGAGGGGCAGGAACAGGCCGGGCCGGGCTGGCGACGCGCACCACTGGCTTGGTGCGAGGGGACAGGAACAGGCCGGACCGGGCTGGCGACGAGGGGGGCATGGAACAGGCCGGGCCGGCCTGGCGACGCACACCACTGGCTTGGTTGCGAGGGCGGAAAGGCCGGGCCGGGCTTGGCGACCCCCAAAAAACTGGCTTTGGGGCGGGGGGCAGGAACAGGCTGCCAGGCTGGGAACACGCACCACCTGTTTGGTGCGATGAGCAGGACGGGCCGGAACCGACTGGAAGTGCGGACTGGAGGTCTGGAGCGGAGAGCTGGCACAACCTTCCTGGCTGGCTGCCCACGTTCGCACTACACATGCGGGCGATGCACAGGACCGCACTGGGCTGTGCACGCGCCTGGCGAAATAAACAGACAGCTCGTAGAACAGGCGCAGGATATGCGGGACCGAGATGCGTACTGGAGACCAGATCGTTGAGGTCCGTCACAACCCGTCCTTCTGAATGCCGCAACTTCGCATCGACCCTGCGGTGGTGCTAGCACCAGGACGTACACGACAGGTGCGAAAAACTGGCGACACATACGTAGCGCCGCTAGTAACACGTAGCCTGCCCAGTCACACGCTTCCTCGCGTGAGTACGGGGAGTTGGCTCTGCTCTAACACTAGGCTCCGCCAACCACCCTTTTAGCCCCCCCCCAAAAAATTATTGGGGCTGTCTCTCGGGCTTCTTCCTCGGCCGGCACCTTCTGCGTTGCCACTGTCTCCTCCCAAGGACGGCGATCCATCCCGGCCTGAATCTCCTCCCAAGTCCAAGATCCCTTACCGTCCAGTATCTCCTCCCAGGTCCAGGCTGTCTGCTCCTGGACACGCTGCTTGGTCCTCGTTTGGTGGGATCTTCTGTCACGTTTGTTTATAGACGGGACGGACCAAGGCGCAGCGTGATATGCATACATGTTTATTTATATTGAATAAACACACAACAAAATGTGAAGTCCAAGGTAGCACACAAACAACATACCTTACACGGAACAAGATCCCACAACCCACTAGTGCCAATAGGCTGCCTAAGTATGGTCCCCAATCAGAGACAACGAGCGACAGCTGCCTCTGATTGAGAACCACACCGGCCAACATAGATCTAGACATACTAGATTCTACAACAATGAACAAACACAACACGGAATATACACACCCTGACTCAACAAATAAACGTCCCCTGAGTCAGGGCGTGACATTTTGATAAAGTATAGTGATTAATTTCCACAACAAGTGCAGTATAACTGCAGTACACTGTTGTATAACTGTAGTCAGAGTGCAGTATAACTGCAGTTCACTGTAGTATAACTGTAGTCAGTGTGCAGTATAACTGCAGTACACTGTAGTATAACTGTAGTCAGTGTGCAGTATAACTGCAGTACACTGTAGTATAACTGCAGTATGCTACAAATACTGCGTCCAAAATAACACTGTTTTCTTACTGCAGTAATTTTGCAGTGTAACTGCAGTTACAGTGCAGTATAACTGCAGTTCAACTGCGGTTATTCTGCAATTACTGCATCCAAAATACCACAGTCGACTGCAGTTACTGCACTTTTACTGCAGTTTCAAAACTGGTATATTTTCTTGTAAGGGAGATCTCATTATCTGTTGTTATTGAATATTCATGATTCTATATGCTTTTCTGCTCTAATTATAAGCAGCATCTTGCCATTTTACGAAGCCTCTTTAATCTATGTGAGTCTTCTCAGACAGCTGTCACTCAATAAGGCTACTTGGTAAGACGCTGATCACATCAGATCAGATTTAGCACTCACTTTCTTTTCATTACTGGAGTCCTTCTTGATGGCCTTGATGTAGTCACTCTTCCCTGTGAGGTGTTCATCGTACTCCTCCAGTGTCATGTCTCCATCCTCAATCAGCACATATGGCAGATGAGGATCTAGCAGGAAACAATGGGCACTAGACTAATATGGTACAGTATCACCTTGACAACAAGCAGGTTTCAGTGTAAGCCATAACACTGATAGAAGGGTACAATACACAATTCCTGCAAACACCTGTCAGAGAAAAGGCAGACGTGGCCAAGTAGTATATATATCTGTCACAGACTAATCTCGGTTAACCCATAACTAAAGTCTTGTGTAATTGGTCAGGTGCTCGATTAAGTTCTGGGTGTTAAGAGAAGAGATAGAACGAGGAAAGGAACCGTAATGAAGAGCTCCACCCACTCTCTTTGCAAGTTACGAGCCAAAGTCTATTGGCCAAATTACATTTTACATTTTTACATTTTCGTCATTTAGCAGACGCTCTTATCCAGAGCGACTTACAAATGTCCCCTCCACTTCCGAAATTCAAAAAATGCTAATACCAGCGAAATCGTGATTTGTCCTGAGCACCGAAACTAATGCTGCTTGTTAACTCACGCATCCCGTTTTATCATGACAGATCTACGGTTCCATTTATGTTTACGTAGTTTGTCCATGAGTGATTAGTCAGACTGAGGTCCCTCTTGGATTTTGATTCCAGAGAAATGCTGCTGTTGTCAAGTCAATTTACCAGCTCCACTACTGTGATTGAAAGTGCTTTGCTATTTTCTGCTCATATTCTTCTCTCCACAGGCATCTCTCAATACATCTCTCTGCAGTGACCTTCACGGCGAGCTGTTTTTATTGACCATTTAGTAAATCAAGCTTTTGATGAAAACCGTCCAACAATCACTTTTTAAAATCATTTTAAGTGAATTCGCTATACAAAAACTCAGGGAAAACTGCTTCCGGCAAGCACTCCTTCCATCTCTTTATTGCCATGGCCATCTGGTTGTGGCTCAGCAGTCTCCTTGATGAGATTGAAACCCCAGTCCCACAGTGGGCTGAATTGAATTGCACAGCAAGCCCAACTGGCCCCAGGTCCGTTTGTAGACAAAGCCATCTCTTTAGAGCCTATTGGATAGGAAATCTGGGGACTAATTCCTGCCTCTGGGAGACAACTAGCCCACGCAGAGATTAAGACAACCAGGAGAGGACTAAGAGAGAGAAAGAGAGAGGGGGGGGGGGGGGGGTTAAAAGAAAGAGAGAGAGAGATAGCTTCCACAAAGCTGTGAACGATCTGAGAGACAAGGCAAGAAGGGCCTTCTATGCCATCAAAAGGAACATAAAATTTGACATACCAATTAGGATCTGGCAAAAAATACTTGAATCAGTTATAGAACCCATTGGCCTTTATGGTTGTGAGGTCTGGGGTCCGCTCACCAACCAAGAATTCACAAAATGGGACAAACACCAAATTGAGACTCTGCATGCAGAATTCTGCAAAAATATCCTCTGTGTACAACGAAAAACACCAAATAATGCATGCAGAGCAGAATTAAGCCGATACCCGCTAATTATCAAAATCCAGAAAAGAGCCGTTAAATTCTATAACCACTTAAAAGGAAGCGATTCCCAAACCTTCCATAACAAAGCCATCACCTACAGAGAGATGAACTTGGAGAAGAGTCCCCTAAGTAAGCTGGTACTGGGGCTCTGTTCACAAACACAAACCGACCCCACAGAGCCCCAGGACAACAACAACTACACAATTAGACCCAACCAAATCATGAGAAAACTAAAAGATAATTACTTGACACATTGGAAAGAATTAACAAAAAAACAGAGCAAACTAGAATGCTATTTGGCTCTAAACAGAGAGTACACAGCGGCAGAATACCTGACCACTGTGACTGACCCAAACTTAAGGAAAGCTTTGACTATGTACAGACTCAGTGAGCATAGCCTTGCTATTGAGAAAGGCCGCCGAAGGCAGACCTGGCTCTCAAGAGAAGACAGGCTATGTGCACACTGCCCACAAAATGAGGTGGAAACTGAGCTGCACTTCCTAACCTCCTGCCAAATGTATGACCATATTAGAGACACATATTTCCCTCAGATTACAGAGATCCACAAAGAATTCAAAAAAACAACAACAGTTTTTGATAAACTCCCTTATCTACTGGGTGAAAAACCACAGTGTGCCATCACAGCAGAAATATTTGTGACCTGTTGCCACAAGAAAAGGGCAACCAGTGAAGAACAAACACCATTGTAAATACAACCCATATTTATGTTTATTTATTTTCCCATTTGTACTTCAACTATTTGCACATTGTTTACAACACGGTATATCTCCTAATATTACATTTGAAATGTCTTTAATTCTTTTGCACTTTCTGAGTGTAAATGTTAAATTTACTGTTAATATTTATTTCAACTTTTGTTTACTATCTACTTCACTTGCTTTGGCAATGTTAACCTACGTTTTTCCATGCCAATAAAGCCCTTAAATTGAATTGAAATTGAGAGAGAGAGAGAGAGAGAGAGAGAAGGGAAGAGAGGATAGAGAGAGAGATCTAGAGAAAGAGAGAGCACGTCAGCGTACTATATCAGCTCTATCGAGATCTCTCTCTCTCGCTCTCTCTCTGCGCTCTCCTCTCGTCTCCTCGTCTCGCTCGCTCTCTCTCTCTCTCTCTCTCCTCTACGCTCGGCTCCTCGCCTCTCTCTCGCCTCGTCATTCCTTCTCTCTTCTCTCTCTCTCTCTTCTCTCTCTTCTCTCTCTATCATATTATATCTATTTCTTTTATACACAGTGGGGGAAAAGTATTTAGTCAGCCACCAATTGTGCAAGTTCTCCCACTTAAAAAGATGAGAGAGGCCTGTAATTTTCATCATAGGTACATGTCAACTATGACAGACAAATTGAGAAAAAAAATCCAGAAAATCACATTGTAGGATTTTTTATGAATTTATTTGCAAATTATGGTGGAAAACAAGCAAGATTTCTGGCTCTCACAGATCTGTAACTTCTTCTTTAAGAGGCTCCTCTGTCCTCCACTCGTTACCTGTATTAATGGCACCTGTTTGAACTTGTTATCAGTATAAAAGACACCTGTCCACAACCTCAAACAGTCACACTCCAAACTCCACTATGGCCAAGACCAAAGAGCTGTCAAAGGACACCAGAAACAAAATTGTAGACCTGCACCAGGCTGGGAAGACTGAATCTGCAATAGGTAAGCAGCTTGGTTTGAAGAAATCAACTGTGGGAGCAATTATTAGGAAATGGAAGACATACAAGACCACTGATAATCTCCCTCGATCTGGGGCTCCACGCAAGATCTCACCCCGTGGGGTCAAAATGATCACAAGAACGGTGAGCAAAAATCCCAGAACCACACGGGGGGACGTAGTAAATGACCTGCAGAGAGCTGGGACCAAAGTAACAAAGCCTACCATCAGTAACACACTGCGCCGCCAGACGTCTCCCCCTGCTTAAGCCAGTACATGTCCAGGCCCGTCTGAAGTTTGCTAGAGTGCATTTGGATGATCCAGAAGAGGATTGGGAGAATGTCATATGGTCAGATGAAACCAAAATAGAACCTTTTGGTAAAAACTCAACTCGTCGTGTTTGGAGGACAAAGAATGCTGAGTTGCATCCAAAGAACACCATACCTACTGTGAAGCATGGGGGTGGAAACATCATGCTTTGGGGCTGTTTTTCTGCAAAGGGACCAGGACGACTGATCCGTGTAAAGGAAAGAATGAATGGGGCCATGTATCGTGAGATTTTGAGTGAAAACCTCCTTCCATCAGCAAGGGCATTGAAGATGAAACGTGGCTGGGTCTTTCAGCATGACAATGATCCCAAACACACCGCCCGGGCAACAAAGGAGTGGCTTCGTAAGAAGCATTTCAAGGTCCTGGAGTGGCCTAGCCAGTCTCCAGATCTCAACCCCATAGAAAATCTTTGGAGGGAGTTGAAAGTCCGTGTTGCCCAGCGACAGCCCCAAAACATCACTGCTCTAGAGGAGATCTGCATGGAGGAATGGGCCAAAATACCAGCAACAGTGTGTGAAAACCTTGTGAAGACTTACAGAAAACGTTTGACCTGTGTCATTGCCAACAAAGGGTATATAACAAAGTATTGAGAAACTTTTGTTATTGACCAAATACTTTTTTTCCACCATAATTTGCAAATAAATTCATTAAAAATCCTACAATGTGATTTTCTGGATTTTTTTTTCTCATTTTGTCTGTCATAGTTGACGTGTAATGAAAATTACAGGCCTCTCTCATCTTTTTAAGTGGGAGAACTTGCACAATTGGTGGCTGACTAAATACTTTCCCCCCCCACTGAATGTATATATATATATATATATATATATATATGTACACTACCGGTCAAAAGTTTTAGAACACCTACTCATTCAAGGGTTTTTCTTTATTTTTACTATTTTCTACATTGTAGAATAATAGTGAAGACATCAAAACTATGAAATAACACATATGGAATCATGTAGTAACCAAAAAAGTGTTAAACAAATCAAAATATATTTGATATTGTCACGATCGTCAGGGAGAGACCAAGGCGCAGCGTTGAATGCGAACATTATATTTATTAGAATGATCACACGATCAAAACAACAGACGAAAACGTGATGTCTACGGTTGAACACAAACCGAACAAGAACAAGAAACCACAAACACAAAGTGAAAGACAGACAGTTAAATATGTCTCCCAATCAGAGACAACCAGCTGACCCTCGTTGCCTCTGATTGGGAGTCACTCAGGCCAACATAGAAATACAAACATAGAATTACACACCCTGGCTCAACATAACAGTGTCACCAGAGCCAGGGCGTGACAGTACCCCCCCCTAAAGGCGCGGACTCCGACCGCGCCAACTAAATACCACAGGGGAGGGACCGGGTGGGCACTCCGCCTTGGCGGCGGATCCGGCTCCGGGCCTGATCGCCACTCCCTCTCCAACCCCCCAAAGTACCCCTGGTCCGGTCTGGCCCCGCTGGCCGGAGCTGGACTGCACACTGATGGAGCGGATTGCTCTAGCTCCGGCGTAACGCATCTGACCGGTGCCGGACCAGGCACCAGTGGAACAGGCACGGGCCG